AGACTCGTGTAACTAAGTTCATACGACTGTGTCATGCCTTTGATTGCCTGAGCCCTCAACCTCATGGAAACCAGCACAACAGCGTGCACAACTCTTTCCTGCTCACACAATTCATCTGCAGCAATATATTTTGGCTTTAGCTGACATTGAGTTCTAAAAGTACCGCAAAGCATCATGAATTTTTATTGTAAGTGGAACCAATCATTCAATAAGCAACGCTTACTCTCATGCAAAGTGCGTTGCAGTCAGAGGGAGTCAAAGGAATTGTTTTCTTTGGCTTCAGATGTCCTCCCATCAAGTGGCATGCATGGTATTAAAAATTAAGGAAAGAGCTTAAAATTAAAAAGAAGTCACAGTAATAGTTTCTTCTTGAGAAAGGCCTGTTGGGCTAAATAAGAAGGAGGTAAAAAAAGAACTTTGGTTTTTCTCTGCTGTACTAAAAATGGCATATTGTGTTTGGTCATGGAATAAATAGTATTCAAATGTGAAAAGATTTGAACCAGAGTTTGAATGGAATCCATATAAATTTTAAGACACAGTTTCTTCAGGGGCAAAAGGAAAGAGTTGTTTACACTGAAAACTTCATAGGAAAATATAAATGGACCAAGTGATCTACGAAACTTCAGGAGAGTTCAGACTCCTGAGGTAACAAGATGAAAAGTAAATTGCTTTATTATCGCTTATTGGAAATCACAACAGCCAAAAAGATCATTAACAGCTCAGGACCAGAGAGCACTGAGGGTTTAAAAATAGAAATGTGTCTGTGCCTTGACTTGAGACTTATTCACCCTTTAGCTATTTAAGACTGCAAAATATTTGTAAGACAGTATCTTAGAAACACAATTACGTGGAAATCCAGAAGATTCAGACTCTTACTGTCAACACAACAGGGTGGGTACCATTTCCTCCTCAGATGCACCAATTGAAGTTGTGTCTTTGCCACGAACTGGGTAGCAAAAAGCAAACAGCGTGTTTTAGCAACAGTTCAAAAATGGTCTACACAGCTACTTCCAGCTGTAATCTTTCCTACTACTGTCCACATTTGCTCTTGGACTAAGTAAACCACTATAATGATTTTCCTGTTCGATACATTGACACATTGAGTTTTAGTTTTGTTTTTTTTTTCCTCTTCAATCAAAGTGGGGCTGGGAAATGGGGTTTTGTACTTAATTCCATGGCAGAAACATACCATCAAATCAATACAGAATTCAGCTGTATCTGCAGGAGTACAAATATTGCTATCTTTCGTCAAACCTGGTCCATATGGTAGCTGTGAGTCATGTTAAAGTATTTTTGGTTATTTCCTGGTCACTTCCAGATCCCTGCTTCTCTGTATTAACTTTTTTTTCCCTCCCCTCTTCCAGTGAATCCTTGTTAGAATAATCCTGCCTCAAATTTGCTATTGGTAAAAACAAAACTTGTTTCTACTTGCATCACAAATATGAACAAAACACTTTTCATGAAAGTACCACAACTGCGGTGCAGATCTCTTTCTGGGAGGCGTTATCTTCCAACTAATGAGCTCGTAGCTACAATTTTGTCTTTAAGAACTGACAAAATCAAACCAGTTACCAACTAGGCAGTGATTTTTACCTCCATCTGTTTCTCCTATCCATTATCTTAGAACAGAATTCCCACCTTTTAACTAAATTTTATTAGTTAGAGCATTAATATTTTCTGGCTAAAAAGGGAGAATATGTACAAAGGCTCAAGCTTTGCCTTCTCACAGAACAGGTAAATGGGAGAAGGAGAAAAAATTGGAATCAGCAAGTCAGGTTCTGAGCCCAGCTTTGCTTGTACTGGTCCCAAAAAAGCAATAAAAATATGATATACACAGTGTAGCCTTTCTGCTTCCTGAGCTGCTTTGCTTCAGAGCTGCATTCAGCAAGACACAGTCAAATGAGTCCCTGAGTTTCATTCATTTAGTTTTATCATTTCATTTTTTCTTAATAATGAGTCAAATTTTCAATTTAAATGACCAAACCAAATAGCATTCTTCCTCATTTCGAGCCCATTTCAGATGTCTCAGCTCTTACACCCTACATTCTGCTAAATGCCCAAGACTAAAAAAAGAAGAAAATTCAAGCTTCCAGGATAAGATCCATCTCTTAATACTCAGTGTCTATGGTGCAGTCATCTACATCTGTGCTAGAAGCCAAACCTCCCTTGGTGCTCATAGAGACAGATGCATCTTAGGTGGGATTCACTTAATCTCAAAATAGGTATCTAAAGCAGCTAGAAGACAGGATTTACCTTCGACGCTGTTTGGAAGATGTCTAGAAATGAAATAAGCAATACCTGCAAACAAATCTCAGTTCTGGCCTCTGCTGTCTGAGTACACAAGGAGCACTGGAAAGGGCATCACACATCCAGTTGTAGGTGAACTGTAACACGAATTATTGTATTTCTCAAATCTAACAGTACTCAAAGTTGCACACTCAGAGCACAAGGAGGACTGGGAACAGAACCTGTCCCACAGGAGAAACTCTTGCATATTTAAGTTTATTTCAAATAAGTTTTCAAAGAAAAACTGAACTAAAACAGATTTAGTATATATTTGCTTGTCTTAAAAAAATGATTCCATGAAAGAGTTTTATAGTTATCTAAGTAGTAATACAGTTTTTTATATACAAAATTCAATTTCAAACAATTTACTGTACAAAAGCAAGTATAAGCAACTGTTACTATTTCATGATTTCGGCAAATAATGAAAAATTCTGGTAAGTATGTGTTCATGATACAGTTCTACCGTTTACAGGAATGTCAGTATTAAGTTGGGAATACTTTTGGATAAGTATTTACAGGTAAAATCCCTTTCAAGGAAGTTCCCCTAAGATTTCCCTTCAGAATAGGTAGTTCATGGTTGGCTTTCTTTGGGATCTTTTGGGCTACCAAGGAATGAGAGGAAGAACACTTTTTCAGTAAGGTGTACGGACAGAATTCTGCTTGATTTATTCCCACTCACAGTCCTATTGCAGTCAGTGGGTCTGATCTGGTAAACACTTACTACCAGGCGCAACGCTTATTGTGTGAATAAATCAGGCAGGACTCGGCCCTACAATAGTTAGCTATCATAAGTTACAAATTTTAAAAATAGTGACATTCCTGCAAGTTGAAATACAACAGAAACAAGAGTTAACAAAATATAAGCCCTTTATTAATAAAAATCTTTGGTTGGATCAATATTTTAAATAAGCTTCAAGAATATTTGGTTAATACCATTTTCTTTCTTCCACATAATTTCTTTTCTGCTACTTTCTTTGGACAGACTACAGAAAAATATCAAGTTTATCACATACTTTAAAACAAATAAATATATCAAAAGCTAAATATGGCATTTTTTTTAAAGCTCTAGCATTAATCTTTAAATTAGTTTGGCAAAGAAGAAAAGGAAAAAAAGAAACAACTAACTTCTCTTGAAAACAGTCTTTTGACGTTTGGTTTTGTAACAAACCATACAGTAGTTAGACTTTAAAGAAATCTTTAATTTTTATTTTATTTTTCAGTTTTATATTTGTAATGCAAGTGCCATGGACAAGACAACGCGATAAAAGAAACGAGGTTAATTGCACCGATATTATTTGGAAGTGCAGTTTATCGTTTGACAAAGCAAAACTAAAACATACTATGCTTAAACAGAGTTGTAATGATGGCATTTAACTAGGCTTTGTAAGTAAGGATTTTAGATTTATACTTTAAGGAAGCTCCTTGTACAAAAGATAGAGTATTTTAAGACGAAAGAAAAGTCCTATAACTAACTGAAGGTCTGGTCCTGTAGCCCCAGTGCAGGCAAAACTTCCATTGAAGACAGTAAGTGGGACATGTTTTGGATTTATTCCTCCGGCACAGCCTCTGGGAAATGCCATTCAACAGCAGAAAGTCTGCGGGAGCAACTGGCTGTGAAACGCGGGTGCAGGTTCCTTTCTCCTGCAGAGGACAGAGGGCTACAGAGAAAAACCTGGCTGAGAAAGGGATGTGCTAAACCAATGGGAAAAAGGGAATTTCCTCAGCAATGACAGTGTCCGAGTAGTAGGCAGGGCAGTGTGAGTCCCTGTAGCTCTACGTGTGCTCGTTAATTCGGGGCATTTAACAAAAACACTCTGAGGTCATCTACCTGCTGGGAAGGTCTCCAAATTGTGCTGCTGCTGCCTGGCCATGAGCTGCTGGGGGACTGCTCAAACACAGCTGATGCAGCCTGGGGCACTGAGGTAGCTTCATCCACATCAGTTGTTCATTGGTAAAAAAAAAATAAAATTAAAAAAAAAAAAAAAAAAAAGAACTTTTCCAGATTGGCTTTTCTGATGTTTCTGAAGAGAGCAGTGTCCCAGTCAAGTGTACCCAATCTCGGGTACACAACAGATTTCCAGAAGCGCCCCACGCACTTATGTGACTCTAAAGCTCAGCAGGAGCTCTGCTTGTTTCAGACCTGCAGGTTCACACATGGATGTCTGCCCACAGAGCTAAACCCTGTCTTGGAAAGCAAGTCGGTCTGGTAGGCTTAACGTGGTTTCTCTCCTGCCAAAAGGAATATCAGGGTACACTCTAAAGCTGATTTTGCATATATGTTACCTAGTTACCCCATGGCCCTTCAAGCCTGGGGTTCCAAAAATATTTTAAATTAGTGTTATTATTATTATTTAAAATTTACTTTTATTTAGTTAGTTAATTAATAGGTTAAAGTCGAATTCTCAGAGAATATCTCTATCAAGACATTCTAAGTACCTGCATTTATTAATGCACACCAACGTCAATAGCGTTATCTATCAATGAAATATAAAAATTCCCTGCATTACTGCTTGTGCAAAAGAAAAAACAACAACGTTATCAGAAATAGAACGTGGTCCTCCATATTTGTAAGAAGAGCATTTCTCACAAAGATGGGAGCAAAACGGCAGCACATCCTTCAACATGCACCAGGCTGTCCATCAATCGAGTCCTGCCTTTTATGCAATGGCTTGTGTATCAGTGGAATGCCCCGACATACTCAACTCCCTCCTCTTCTATACGTCGAGAGGATACGAATGGCAGGAGGACAAGCTCCCACTGTGGCTCCTGGAGAGTCTGGGGCTGTGATTGTTACAGTTTTCACCTTTTTTCTTGTCCTTGTCTTTCCAGGTTTCTAGCATTTGCAGCTTCCCTTGTTCTTCTCGCATGAAGACCTCCACCATAAGAACTTTCTCTTTATGAATCTGCTGACTAATGTCTTTGGGAATGTCTGGGATAATCCAGTCAACAAAGTCACTCATAAACATGACCAAGTTCTGAAAATGAAATTGTGAGAAAATGTCAGCAAAGTCAAATGAAAGGATGACTGTAGGGGAAGGGGCCATTTTTAGTTTACTTAGGAAGGAAGAATGAAGAAAGGACAATATTTGAGTTGGGCTCAGTGGCATGTCGCAGGCCTGAATACTGAGCCAAATTCACCTCAACTTCTTGCTCATGCTAGAAGAGGAGAAAAAGGCAGGCACAGATCTCTATGATTTATGTACAAAACTGTCACAGCCACTTAGAAATCCAAAGGAGATACTGTCATCGATAAATGGCTTACAAGTTTTACATCAGAAAGGCAGAAGCAAATAGAAAGAGGTAAAATGGCGAAAGTTGGTAAAATACATTCCAATGAAATGTTTCCGATTTAAAAACTTTGATTCAATGAAAGGGAGAGTCTTTTGCAAAAATATATATATTTTGTCAAAAAAAAAAAAAGAATGAAAGTTTTGAATTTGAAACAAGCTGTTTACATAAGATAGACTTAAAACACTTGTGTCACAATAACCAGCATCACTGTTGAGATCGAATAATGTTGTTTAGTGAAAAATTACAAGATTTTACCACCTTGTTCAGATGCAAGATAAACTCTAAACAGGAAATTTCGGAAATTTCATTTCTTGGCCAGGTCTAGAAATGAGTTTGGATGAAATTTATGCTGCTTCAGTGAATTCATTGATGTCCTACTGGAGCAATTGGTGGGACCTCATTAGTATCAGCCTTGTGCTTTGCTGCTTACTAAGGTCATGAAGTTGCTTCTGCATCAAACCAGTTCAGAGAATCCCTGGGGATGAATGTTTCCACTGGGGATATATCTGGGCCTGGGCGGATGGGAGGAAGAGGGTGAACGAGGATGGCCAAATCTTTTCCACAAAACAGCTGAGAAAAGTTATTAGGCCAAAGAAAATATCTTCTGTTTCCAAATATGCCTTGCCTTGTGTAACTGAAGAAATACAGTAACTCTTTTTCTTTCTCATATAGAAAGTGCCTTCAGTATAACCTACCTGGAAGACGATCACAAATGCTAATCTTGCTGCTAGGACAGCCCAGAAATCTTTTGAAATGTCATACTTGTTTTCAGACCAAGGAGGTTCTCGATAATCTTTATATCTGCAGAAGAAAACTCCATAAATCAACGATGTCATTCAGAAATTTTAGCACAATGAGGAATTAATACCAGTCAAACAGTAAATTGAACCATCTAAAAGCAAGTTCACTATTACAGCAGGACTCTGTATTAACCTCTCAGAAACAAGACACAGCTGAAAGTCTCCCACAGCCTTCAAGACTCAAAATTAAAGTCTTCAATCTTAATATCCTCTGATTAGTACAAACAATATCAATTCTGCATGAAGACTGTAAACTACATAGCTCAGATAATTTATTTTCTTTTAAGATTGGCGAAAAAAAACCCAACGTATATTTTTCAGACTAATTTTAAAGACAAAAATATTGATCTTGGATCCATAGAGTGTGTTCTCCTTGTTTACAATTAACAAAAGGTCTCAGCTGGATTTTGTCATATAGAGAGAAGGTGAGAATTTTGCCTTAGCTATGGCTGACAGGAAGTCTCTGAGCTAATCAACAATAACTTGTTAGAAATGGGACCAAGAAAAATACATTAAATTTAAAACCACAGCATCCTGTCAATGTTTTGAAAGAACTAGGGCTCCATATTTGCAAATGATTTCAAAATCCCTGGAATAAGGAAGAAACAATGGGATGGAAAGATCCTGTCAATGTTTTGAAAGAACTAGGGCTCCGTATTTGCAAATGACTTAAAAATCCCTGGAATAAAGAAGAAACAATGGGATGGGAAGGAGAAAGAGGCTGGGACTAGAAGGTAAATCAACCTGGCATTTTGCATTGGACCATGGCACTAACACTTCCATTCTGTAAGTTCTGTGCTAAAAACATGTTTGCCAACCTCGTTTATTCTGTGCCCAGAGATCACCAGAAGGAAACCAGGAGAAAGTAAAAGCAAGCAATGCTAATACTCAGGCAATTTTGGTTGTTTTTTTCTTTCATCTCAGAGTGATTTTTCTGTTTAGCAGTCATTTCAGCAGATTAATTTGCCCTATTCAAATTTATAAAGAATATAAATTAAAAAGTAATACAGTTATAAAAGTGGGGTTTTTTCCTGGTCAGTTTGTGTGATATTTTAGTGTATGGATACCAAAATCATCTTTCTTTTTTCCTTTCTGGGAATGTCTCTTCCTTCCTTATTCTTTTTCCCTTCCTACTGCCATTGCCTCCCTTTCAGTTTTGCTGGTCTGAGTGTTTCACTGTTATACTTGGCTTTGGTTCCCAATCCTAAGCATTGAAACGTTTGTTTGGAAGATGATGGATATCTAAGGAAGCCTAGGCAAAGCGTGCATTTCAGCACTGACCTAGATTGCTTCATAGGCTGAAATATGCAACAATAATTTTCCTTTAAAAATGAAAATAACGTGTAGGAATAAGTTAGAGGCATGCAGATTTCCTGTATAATGACATTTTAAGTGAGTCTTAAGTTCCAGTCCAGACAAAGATGCTATTACTCTCATCAGGAATTGCTACAGAAACTGGACAAAAAAGAGAGATGTACCGTGAAGTCACAGTCATTATATCAGCAGCATGTGATACAACAACATGACATCACAGTGACATCATTTTGTTCCCTTAAAGCATCATTGTGCTGTTTATCACTATTTGTCTCCTTTCCTGAAAAACAGAATACATCATAATAAAAATCTTTACACTGACAAACACTGAATTTAACAACGCTAATATCTATTGCCCAAAACGAGCAGTACTTCATATTCAAGTTCTGTGGTTGCTTAACATGTGACCCAAGACGTTCAAGGCAATGGGTCCATCTGATATAAAAGGCTACCGAGGTGCTAAAAAGGTATTGAAAATACAACGGACCTGCCCCAGAAACGTAAAAATTTGTCCCATTTTTAGTCAGCTGTGAAAATACTTAAAATTAGTTATCATTCAAGGGTGTACCTGCATATCTGAACCTCGTAGCCAAGATCCATGGGGTCGTTTGGAGCTGTTCCTGCTTGAAAATCGCTGACATTAAAAGAAGATAGCGTATGGTTCACGAAGCCATGCATGGTGCCATTCTCACTGTACATATACAGGTACACGAGGCGTGGAATGAAGTCGGATGTGAATGAGATCACAAATGCCTAAGCCGTAAGAGTAAAGAGCGGAATATTCAGGCAGTGGCGAAGTTAATAAAATACTCGAGTACGTCTCGCTCAAACAACTCGCGCAACTCAGGGACTGCTTCAGAAAACAAGGGGGAAGACTGCAGCCCATGGGGCCCTAAAAACAGACTGTTTACTGCTGCAATAAGGTAGTATTTACTGCTTACTCTCCCGAGCTGCAGAATATTAGATGGAAGAGTTCCACGCCAACTGAGATTTCTACGTGGTAACAACTTGAACTCCCCAGAGAACGAAGCGGCCGTACCCCCCAGCACCAGAAGAAAGCAAAACACGGCGCTGTTTCCCCGTCCCTCAGTCACAGCTTGTCCCTGATGCATTGTATAAGGTCCAATTGATGGGTTTCCAAGTACTTTTCTGTTCTGCGAACAACTGACAGTGAATTGATTCTAAATTCTCATTGTGTTGCAAAAGGCCATTAATTGTGTATGGCTTTTAACTCCATCAAGATAAAAAGATGAGCAGACTGAGCCCAGTTTTATTTTTATGGTCTCAAAACTTGCATTTTATTTGGATATTTAAAAAGGTTTTCTAAAAATGTCATACAGAAAACGCAAGACAGCCAATTCGGCTGAGTTCTTCATAACTTTAGCCTTTCTCATTTGTTGTTATTATGAAACATTCTCACTGGCATAAATCTCATGTACATGTGGAACAAAAACACAGTACAAAATGTTTTACTTATTGTATGATAAAGAGGAGTAATACATAGATCAGAGAGGAGAAAAATAACACTGGATAATGACAAAGAGAGACTACATGGACCAAAAAAGAAAAAACCAGAAATTATTTCCAAAGGAAAAGAGGAGAAATGGTAAAGACAAATTAAGGCAGCATCCCAAATAACCAAAAGAATGGTTTGGCCATAGCACAACAGACATCTGTGGGCAAAGCAAATGGATTTCCAGTCTGGATAGTGGCAAAAAAGCCAAGAGGGCTCATGGACACGTGGCTGTAAGCCCTACACAGCTGCTAGTTTGCTGCATTGCAAACATGTTTTCAGCTTGTCATTCAGCCTGTTTTTTCATCTTTCACCATGTGGGGTGCAATGAAAACAGTCAACATGGATGTCTATTCATATAGAATATTCTATAAGTACATAAATGGATATACTAAGGTGTGCTAAAATATTCTAAGGGCTGGGACGTTCACTGTTGAAGTAAACGAAAAATATTTTCATGGATTTTCAGAGCTATGTGAGTGAGAGCAACGCAGTTCGAGGCCAGGTTTTCAACAGAGGGACACTGTGCTCTGATGAGCTGAATTAATTCACAGCCAGTTGACTACCTGACCCTAAATAGGTTTTAGCACTGAAATTAAAAAGTACATCATCTTAGTGACAGCATTTCAAAAGAGCAAAAGTAAGCAGCTGTGGCCTTATTTGTTTGGAGGGCAAAACTGTTTTACAAAAACATTCTGGAAGAAAAGCTGCAACAAATACTATTTTGTATTGTTGCTACTACGATCACAACTTAAACACTGCATTCGATTCTCTAATATTTCAGAAAATTTCTAAATCATATACATTCACTTGATTTTAAGGGGGTTTGATGCTGAAGTAAAACTAATGGCGCAGAATGGAAAAGCCAGTCTATTGAACTAAAATTTTATTTATGCCGAATTACTTACATTTATTATGACAGCAAGCTTTCCAATACCTCTGAGGATATTATACCAGATTCCTGAGGAAGGAGACAAACATGTAAATGCTGTTCCAGTCATTAAAATTAAATAAATTACATTTTTAGTTAACAGTGTTAGGAGCACTTAAGACTGTGCCAAACTAGAGTCATATTTTAAATAAATAAAGAATAAGTTATAAGAGATTAATTTAATGGCCTTTAAGCAAAGGGAGCCCAACCCTGTCTTCCAAGGCTATGTTTAGGCACCTATTTTTTTTAGGTTTTAAACTAAAAGCTTCTTTGAGGAAGAGGAAGGCATTTGTGAGAGAGAGGAATGCCAGCATAGATAGAAAAGAAAAATATATGAAATTTTTGTTCAAACTTCTCAAATGCTTGAGAATAAGAAAGCTACAGATAGGGAGCTGGAACCTCCACACATGTGGTGCAGAACATACTGGTCTACCAGCTTTGAGGATCTACCTGAATCTGTCCCTACACCTTCTCATCACTGTTGATGCTACCTCAGTTTTGAGAAAGCAAAGCTCCAGTAGAGCCACTCAACGGGATTCTCCATTTGCATCTGGAAATCATATAGACACAGATTTCCTCAGTGTGGGCTTTGTGCATACAAAATGTAGTACCAACCCCATACTGACTCAGGTTCAACCCCTCTGGATTTAGTCTGAGGATGATGCATGAAGTCCCACAGCTCTGCTCCTTCCCTATCTCCAGATCCCATTCCTCATGGAAGGGCTTCCCAAGAGTCTACAGAAAGTGCTGGTTTAGTGTACGTTGCCGTGCACCCTTGTGCCTGACCTCTCTAACAGGCTCCTGGTCACTTGTGACAGCTTGGAAGTTTCTCTTTAGTTGAAGTACACAAACTGCAAGATTCAGGCTTGATGGGAAAACCCAGGGCTGCTACCAGATCCACATGGTTACAGCCCTGATGAGATACTCTCCTCTTCTGGGTCTGAAGAGGAAGGAAGACGTAGGAGACTTTACACAGGGTGACATCCCTGGAAGACTCCTCCAGCCTGGCCTAATCCTTTGCTTGGTAACCAACTCATACTTCATCTAGCTTTGGTCTTCTGGCACAGCATACACAAGCCAGCCTGGACAGAGTACAGAATTGAACTTCAGGATATTACAGTATCAGTGGAAGCAGAGATCGACCTCTGTTTGCTGCTAGCGGTTACCCACTGCCTTTAGCAGGAGGGACCTTCTCCCTTTCCTGATTCTGCTGAGGCCTGCCCTAAAAACTTGTCTGTTTTGTCTGTGGCCATCTCGCAGTCTCTGACTTTAGGGTACCTCTGAAAGAACTGGGGTTCTTTCACCCACAAGAGCGGGACTGAATTGCAATAAATTGCAATTAACACCTTCTCAAAACCCCAAAAGCCCCTAAATCCCAAAACCACAACCAAAAAACCAACACCCCCCTCTAACATCTCCATCAGCAACCTTAGCCTGCAGCATCACAAGCCAGCCACAAAACACCGCAAAAAGCACCGTCGTGGTAAGGGCAGTAGCATGACAAAACACGATGTGTTCTGCAAGTCTAGGATGATCCTAGGGCACAAGGATGAGCCCAAGGAACAACTCTGCTTGTACAATATCAGAACGAACACCGAGTATGGTAACAGATCATGAACTTCTCTGCTCTTGCTGACTGGCTCTGTAATACGAACAATTATTTTAATGACCTTTTTAGTTGTAAGTAACCAACATTCGGGAGAAATAGCTTCCTCGTTACATGTACCCATAGCTATTAGCCCCCCGCAGTAAGGGGCGGACTGGTCTGTTGTCACCGTACAACCGCAGAGCCCCGTTCCAGCTAGATTCACTGCAGCTTTCAAGCTTCACCCTTCCGACATTCATGCTGAGGAAGGACGAAGGGATACATTTACCCACAGACTTTTGAGTCTCCTCTCAATCCCAAGTGTATTTCTCCAGCCCAGTCCAGAGTTATTAAATGCAGAAATTTTCACTTCTGCAAGAAAACTGCATTGCCAGGGAGAACTGTTGATGTGCAGAACCATGCAAGATATTTTGCTATTGTATTGATCATTTTGATTTGAAAAGTGGTATTGTTTGCTTAATAAAATATTAATCTGAATTTAAAGCTCTGGTCTTTCTATTTTAAGAGTAAAGCCTTGATAAGTTATGAGAGTTCACAGTTAAGCCACAGTCTAATGTTTTGAATTTTCCTATAAATATCTGCCTGTTAATGAAACTCACTCAGCATAATAATATCCTGCCATCAATCCAGGAATAAACAGACAGGGATAACAATAGCAATGTGCACATACCTATATCCTTTGCTCTGACTGCTACCGGTCTCCTTAGCTCAGTAACAAATTTTTTTGCATCTAGACGAATTTCAATGATGTTGTTCAGCAAAGCAAACAGAGGCGCCAGTGGGAAGGATGCAACAAACAAAGTTACAAATCCAAACTGAATAACTGAAAAGAAAAAGCAACCGTTTCAATGGCTGTGGTCAGTATTTATCGAATGCATTCATCATCTCATCAGTGCCATCCCCACTCCCAAATTCTAACATGATGACACTTGCTGGGAGACAACCACCTTTTCTGGGTCAGGCACGCTTTGCCTGACCGCTGCTCTGTTTGGGCATTGGAGGGCCAGTTGCCCCTCTTGCAAAAGCTGGGGCTGCCGAGGCAAAGCAAAGTAACCAGAAGGATGGAGAAGCTCCTAAAACAATTTTGCCATGGGCCAGGCTGGCACAGGAGTGATCTGAAGCAGTGAGATTACGGCAGCAACCATGTTAGCTCTACATAAACTTGACATGCTCCACCCGGCAGGTGTTGAGCCCCTACTAATCCCACTGGAAGCTTTCTCTTCAGAAGAGTAGAAACTTAGGAGCTTTGAAAAGGACACGACTGATTCTCTGCCTTTATTGGGAATAACTTGCTTCCTACAACCTGGGATCATATTTGGTTTTGTTTGATGAGGACATCACATTGATGTCATAGCCATCCTGGTACCATTATAGCCCCGTCTTTCTCTTCCTCTGTTACTTCCAAATGCTGATCTCACTAACTTCATTTTTTCTTATTTTTAGGAGCAGACAGCATGACCTCGTAGTTTGTACCATTACATTTCAATCAGTTTTAACTACTCTGAACATCAAGGTCATCAGGCACAACATCAAATGTGCCTTTGCATTTACTGGGCATACCAGTGTTGGGTAGTATTATACGTCATTATCCTTTACCACCATTTTTGCCTAGTCATTCCTTAAAATACAAAATAAAGTCGCTCTTTTAAGATAGATCCTTCAGGAATATCTGATACTGTGGCAAATAGCATTATCTCGAACAGTTCTCAGCCTTTCCAAGATGAAAGTAGGAAAAGAAATGTAGTTGTACAGCCACAGCAATGTAGAGCTGACATCCAGTGCTTAATTTCTGTATCACTCACTGAACGTAATACGTTACTTGAAAAAAAGATTATATGTGATCTGTTAAGTACAATCTGATCTACAGGCACATATCTCTCTCAGAAGATTTAATCCAGATTTCAGAAAACAGAAACAATCTAGTGTAAGAATACACAGTGGAAATTGTCAAATCTGAATTAAGTGACTTATTTCCAATGTAGGGTGCAACTGATGGTACAATGTGCTTCACAATCTGAAGTTTATGCCATTGAATCCTTTGCATTTGATTCCCGACAGTGACACATGACATGGCTTGAAAGAAAGTATCTAAAATATAGTGCTAAAGTAAGGGTTCATGAACAGCACAGAGCACAATTCATTCCTGAAGCAGCCAGTCCTCGGCTGAAATATGCTACCATTCGAGACTATATGTTTTAGTGAGTTATGCCTCATATCCGCTGTCCACCAAACCTACAGTTCAAAAGCCTCAGCTCTCCATCCCAATTAGTCAGAACAATTAAGGTTTAAAATGCCTTCTTTCCACCTCACTCACTCATTTCCATATATTCAGGGGTAAGTCCAGCAAAAGGCTCCAGGTTATAGTCTACTTCGTAACGCTGCTTTTTTTTCACGTGCTCTTCATGGTCTAAAGAACGGCGACGCTTTAATTTCATGTATCGTATAAATTTCTTCATTTTTCTGGGGGAAATGAAAATGCTTCCATTAGCATGCCTTTCCGGTCACCGTGCCCATTTTTTAGTTATTTTACATTAACAGATACAATAAGCTCCATACCTATTTTCATAAAAACTGTGCAAGAGCCACAATACACTAAAAGTATCAGAGATCAGCATACACAGGGACTGAAACACAGTTATAGGAATCAGGCATTCAGTATTACACCTCTTGCTAACCAGTAGGAAAGCAATAGATTGCCTAATACTTTTCAAAGTTGCTGGATGTAATTGCAGTGAAGATGCAGGTATTGGCAATACAGAAGACACAGGCTTCCTGCAAAAATCTTGCAGGTAGCCTATGAACCATGTTCACATCAAGGGGCAGTGGATACATAGGGTATCATGGAAAACACATGCTTAAAAACAAAACGAAACAAAAACCAACCAGAAGTCACTACTTACGGAATGCCAATCTCAAATAAATTGTTCTGGATCAGCTGCTTGCCCAACATGATAATACTGAGCTGGATGCACAACTCCATTAGGCAACCGCCTGGAGCACACTAGGGCGGACAGAGGAAACATCAGTCAGAACATCTGCTGCATCCCCACTCCCACCCAACACAATCACAGACAGGGTAAAAATGCAATTACCTCTTCCATTCGGAAAGAATGGAAAATGTAGACGTAGTCTCCTGGACGTCCGACAAATCTAGGGCACAATGGTTAGAATTATAAAATTCATACGTATTTTATATTTTTATATTTGATTCCTAAAGTCATTTATGTCAAACTCTATGCCTTTGAGTGGGACCACCTAATGTTTAGCCCTGAAAAAGTGAATGAGAATAATTATCTTCGGTTTTGTTTTAAAGAGTAAGTCCTGTTTACTGAGGAAACAACTCAGAAAAACTGCAAGTCTTGTGTTCTACAATATTATAGGCACATCTGGGCAGAAATCCTCTAAGGTAATCCTCATTCCTGTTGCACTAGCTGGAATGTGCCACACGAAGTACTTATTTTAGCCTTGTGCTTTCATGCTGGTTGCAAGAAGAGAGCTGATACTTGCTATGATATAAAAGAAGAGTGGCAAATCCGACAACGGTAAATAGCCTGATGGGAGATTGTATCTGAATGTACAAAGTTATCTTAATAAAATGGCTTTAACAAATTTGAAACAGTGGAGTACCAAGTCCCTGCTTTATCCCATGAGGCTGCAGGGTTTTTGAGTCAATACTGAGGAGTTTTGAAACCAGATTTACTTTATCATCCAACTACGGTCTTAATTCAGCTACAGCTGTCTCACAAGCAACAAGCTGAAACCTTGAACAGCCTTTTGCTTTACTTACCGGCCTTTGAAGAAAGCAACATAGAAAATGGGTGTGTAGGCATTGACAAATTTCAGGAGGAAAGCCTTAAAAATCAGCCGCTCTTCAAAATTCTTGTCAGTTTTTGGCACCTCTGGAACCAATGTGACACAGATAAGAAATGTTAAAGAACTATCCTGCCTGGAACATTTCAAGGTCTTATAAATGTGGACTTCAGAAAAAAATCAGTCATCTTTTAAACAAAGAGGTGCAAATATTTATAGCAATACATATATTAAGGCAACATGGCCTCACTGAAGTCACTGGTCAATCTGCTGAGGATCGTGTTACAACAGTAATTCCAATTTCATTCCACATCTTGCTGACCTCCACCACAATCATTTGCAGATGGACAAGAACTTATCTGAAAAGATTGCTGGACCTTTTTTCACTGATGCTTTTGGAAATGATTCAGAAAATTTTTTTCAACAGTGCTTTCTTGCACTCAACGATTTTGCATTTCTTGACATGTCTTATGCCCATTAAAAAATAGCAGAAAACTAAATAGTAATTGCGTGATATAGAAGCGTGAAGCTTAAGATTAGGTCAGGAATTTCTTGTGTATCCCCATCACTCATAACTGGATTTGTAATTAGCACTATCACTGCTGAAAGAAAAACTTTAAAACCAAAGCCAAATCCATGTGCATTTTAATATTTGTAAGCAGCTGGTTAGAATTTTAGCCACACATCTGAATTTCCTGGGCTTGCTCACCACTTTGAAGTTAATCATCAGAGTCAATGATTTGGGTCCTCTCATTTAAAATCACTCTAGCAAATATCAGTCAAGGATTTGAACCTACCGATCTGAGTTAGCCACCTTGCGATGCAGCCATATACTTCATCCAGGATGATGATGACGACCAAATTGATAATGACTGCGGTGGCAGTGACGGTGACCCTAACGCTTGACCGGCCTGAGGGAGTTGAACTGATTGCCAGCGCCGCTGCAGTTGAGATCCTGTATATGATGACTCCAAACACGATCGCGAACGTCAGCCCAACCTGCAAGTAAGAATCGAGCAGCCTCTTAGGAAAGACTTAACTATAAATACTTTGTTTGGGACTTAGCAATGACCTTAAAAATGGGATCTCTGGGCCACATCCCAAGTCCACCCTATTCTTCATTAAGGCTCCCAATTACTTTGATGAACCATGGGAAAAGATCCTCTTTTGCTAGTAATTTGAGCGTCACATGAAAAAACTGACAATGATGCCGCAATCGCATGCAAAAGTGTTTTTTTTTTAAAGGCACCTAAATGTAAACTACTTGCTTATATTCAAAGTATTAGCAGGCTTCCTTTCAGCCCTTACAGCAGCAGCATATATACATGGTATTTGTTTATTATAAAAGAAAGCCAGAGTTCAAGCAGAGAGGAGTATTTCACCTCAAGTCTGCACACAAGCCTTCAAATACCCTAACTCATGCTCTCTATGCTGTCATAATCCAAAACTGAGATTAAATCTGATTAAATCAAAACATTTCCTGGCAGTGTAAAGTTGCACAAAATCATACTCAATTTTTCATTGCTTAAATAGAGGAATAATTTTTAATTAATTTCTTATAAGGTACCAATTCTTCAGCTAAGAAGATGAGATTTACTGTATTTCCATTTTCTGAAAACAAAATACTAAAAAAAACCAACCCCAAAGCAGAATCTCTATCCCAGAAAAACAAATGAACTGAGTCTGGCATATTCTGCCTTTGGATAGGGCTTGAGTTTTTTTATCAATCTGCCAATTCGTTCCATGTCTTGAATTATTATTATTTCCTTCGAAATCTGTTTTAAATGCTGATGCTTTATCAGCAAATGGAAAAAGGCGGTTCTCATCATTATTTTACCTTTTTCTTGAATTAAGTGCTCTGTTTGCAATTCTCCTGTTATATGGTATAACCCCAAATTGGACTGATTTATTGAGAATCCTTGCAATCAGAATTGCAATTGGCCACATCATTTCTTTCAAAAAAGTCTGGTATAAAAACGAGGCCGTTCTCTACTTCCTGATACTTTCTGAGAGGACTCTCTGTACTTTTAAAGTTTCATCCCATCAATGGTGGTAGTAATTTCCATTTCTGTGCCCTCATTTTTCCCCTACCCTATTTAGGTATTCTTATTTCTTTACTGGAAACAGATGGCAAAGTAGAAATTCAAGCTCTTGAAAAGATTTTAGATTATAAAACACTAAAATGCTTGAATTTTTTTCACTGAGGAAAACCCACTGCAAACCACATCAATCTGCTAAAGTCTGTCACAGCTTCACTAACGTTTCCAGCTCTTCTGTTCTATACAATGACTCGGTAACATAAATTCCAGGTTTTGTCAGGTGATGCTTACCATGAAGATAATGCCAACAAAATTGGTTAAATAGGCTGGAAAGCGATCCTTCCATGTCAGCTTTTCTTTATCTGTCTAAAATTTGAGGTGGAAAAAAGGGTATGTTTAATAAAGACGGAGCGTGTGATTTTGCATGTGAGAAAAACAGGGGAAAAAAGGCTAGCAAATACACAACCAGTTAGAAGATGCAGAGACATAGTGTTTACAGTTACAATTCCACACAGGCAAATTGTTTACTCCATATCTAGGTTCAAATTGGTCAAGCGCCTGCACTGCAAGCATAAATAAATCAGGTTTTTCTGTATACTTTTTGAAGGAAACATGCAAATAGGCTGTCATAAAGTACGAAGTTAAGATCTCTCTTACTGTTAAATATTTTATTTTCCTTTCTCTAGAAAAATTCTCCTTCTTCCCCTCTCCCTCCCCAGTTAATATTTGCAGCTTTGCAGTTGCACAACTGGTGCCACTGAAATACAGATTAAGTATACTATTGAGTAACTCCAAGATGAATGCAGAATTGACAGGGAAGATCTTGTTTTGGGGTGTGATAAGACTTGAAAGTCCTTCAATAGGAGTGATTTTTAACTATTTGACTATCCAACGTGGTATTCAATGGACCATGCCAATAGGAGTTAAGATGCACACGTATAACGACTCTTTACAGGATACCCTAAATCCAGGCAACCAGCCACTGCCTGAATTTGGCTATGAAAATTTCATTGAGAACAGTATTGCTTATCTAGAGTCTTTCATAAACTTTGATGCCGGGAATTGTTTTTAAACACCAGAAAATAAACAACAAAAGGAATGTTATGGAAGATGACGCGCACGTTATAACGAACAGAAAAATATTACTCAAATTCTATTTTTATTACATGCACATTGTCTCAGGGAAGTGCAAGCAACTCTTTCAACACATGGCCCATGCTCCACCGCAAAACGTAACGTCAGTCCAGGATGGTAAATCTAAGATAAGCCATGCAGTGCCATTCCCAATGCACAGAAACTGTGTCCCAAAGAGCGCTGAAGAAACAAGGGGAGGACGGGGAAGAAATCCAGAACTGAACGTGAATATTAAACAAAGGTTCAACAGCCAAAAACAAATTGATTTGTGTCTTCCATAATTACTCATAATTTGAGTTTCTTCATAAGTTTGAATAAAAAGAACCAATTTCACCCCAGCCATGACTGTCTTAACTCTTTGTCTCCATTTGTTTTCTGTCTCTTCTGGAAAATACCGATGCTTCTGATGGCAGTCAAAGGAAACAAAAAAAGGATCGGGCAATACAGCATTACAAAGCACTGCTAAATTCATCTGTATACTCTCTAGTGACTCAGTGTACACAGCAGTTTAGCCACAAGTGAATGCTCTATTAGTTTGCTTAAGGCTCTGTGTTTCAGCTTTAGGTTAATAAAACATAACGGCAACAAAAGACAAACTCTTGCCCCAAATCCTGCAGTAGATCAAGTGATCCTGTAAAGGATATTCCCTTTTTAATTTAGGATTGTGCCCCTCTTTTTCCTTTATGATGTATAAAGTATGTCCAAAAGGTTGTTCCTTTAAAAATATTTTTTAAAATTGGAATTCTCTTGAAAAAATACAAGCAATTTCTAGTTTAGCTTTAGATATTTTTTCTCTAAGAAGATTTCCAAGTTGTCTTACAACTGTTGAATTTGAACTTTAACACTCTAGATCCCAATGAAAGATAATTACCAAGTCTTTCAGAAAAAACCTCCTTTTCTCACGTTTCCCAAATTAGTAACATCCAAATTGAACACAGCCCAAAAAGTTATAAATAGTCTGGTTAAAAAAAAAAACAAAACCAAACAAAAAACCTCTCTTAAATTCTCAGCTTTCATACTCCAATATTTGGAGGCCACCATTCCTTAGTTGTTTGATTACTCTACAGTCTTCCACATTTAAGATCTGAATTCCTGATATACCCAAAAGTACAGCAAGTTGCAGGTTTATTTCAGAATACAACAAAGTCTGTATTCAAACATTGTTTATCCAGTAAAAGATATGGAGAGAGCAGTAACCCAAATTCTTTCTTTTGAGGACCCAACGGTACTCAAGCACAAGCATGTGACAAAATCAGACACATTCAGTTTAACGCCAATCTACATATGTCCCTTAAAGCGTATTTCATGTTAATGTGGTTATTGCAGTTGTATTTTCACAGGGTTTTCATAAAATTCCAATTTAGGGCATGGTTCCACGCTACTGTGCCACTGGTAACAGATATAAAAGAGGAATTTCTGCTGACAGATTCTGTTTATGCTGGAGCGTTTACTTTTCTGCTTAAAACCACCGTCATACAAACAGCTGAATTCTTGCAGTTAAAGGGTGAATAACCTCTGGTAGGGTGGAAACCAGTATGTGGGGGAGAAAAGGAGCTTTTTCAACTCGGTCTGCTGCTGACAGACAGTAATAGGGAAGGAATTAAGCCTTCAGCGAAAGGGCAGGGAAGCTGCTCGTAAGGATTGCACCATCCATTGGCGTTGGCGAGATGCACGCGCCCCAGGGATGACTGGCAGCATCTTTTTCATGGTGATGTAACGAGCAAGTTAAAAGCCAAAGTGAGCGCTACCTTATTCAGTGGAATAAAATGGAAGTTATGTTTTTGAAAGGCAGAAAGTTTCCGAAGCTGGAATTCAGCAAGGGAATTGGTGTTAGTACTCGTCATTAATGCTCTAGTATAATTTTTATTTACAAAGTCTAGCAAGACAGAGAACCTCTCCTGAGAGGCTTTAGGTACTTATGTTAGCACAGAATAAGATGGTTTTTACAGTCTTCTCAAACTTGATTTGTTAGCCTAATGGGAGCACCCCTTCAGTTGGACTCAATTAGCTCCTCTAGGCAACACTCCTATATCTGATTATTAAAGACATTTCTAGACTTAATCAGGTCTTGTGCATTGGTATACATTGAGTATCCCATATATGCTAGGAAAAAAGACATCTGGAATTTATACACAATGCGCAATGACTCTATTTTTCACCTGTTTCTTAGTCTTGGGTCAGTGCCTGGTATAATGACCTTCTTTGTCATAGTCTTATATAAGTGAAACAAATGGATATTCTTACCATACCTCTTTATGTTTGTGTTCTTTTCTCAACGATTTTTCTAAAACTTTAGCTTCATATTCTGCTCTTGGATGATCCTGTGAAATAAGTTATATTTAATAAAAAGCAAAATTATTTATTTTCTGTATCAGCTACACAAAAACTGTTTGCAGGTCATTTTCCTCATCATTTCTGAGTTTTCTAACTGAATTCTAATTCACTGGGTATGTCATTCATATCAACTGATAGTCGACTGTAACTAAAAAAAAAAAATGATAAGTCCCATATCATTCACAGTTCTACAGCAGCAACTGCAGAACAATCTGAACTCACTATCAGACACCCATGTGCAACGCTATGTAGATTAAATTTAATACATGAGAGTATACAGCGCAACTTGCAGATAGCATGGTTCATACCAAGTGATATTATGCTTGGATTTTAATTACCTGTCTTTTTGATAAAAACTAGATTTTTGCATGTCATTAACTGTAATTTCAGTGATCCTCAGCTCGTGAGGGAAACAGTTATCTTCTGTAAGTATACAAAATACTTGGCTTTGGGATCCTAGAAACTAGTTAGTTGGGGTCTTCCCCTAATCAATTCTTGGACAGCATCCACAGATAACCCGTGTGCATTGAAGGAGAGGGTGTAGGAAACACTCAGAAGTAAGAGACAGCCAAAAGATTCAGATTCCCCAATTCAGAATTCATAATTATGCATTCACAAAAGATTCAGAATTTACAATTATGCATTGGATGGGAAACAGAACGGAGTTGAAAAAAGTCTGAAGAAGTGGATAGGGGGAGGGTGTAAAGGCAAAGCAATCAGTGGGAGATCTAAAGAAAATCTGATGCTCGAAAAAGAAGAGGTGGAGATCAAAAGATGGCATTTATCAGTAGATATGTAATAAAAAAGGTAGGAGCAATTTTTTTAAAAAAAGTGTTTTCCAAACCTTGACTGCCTCCTTCAGGAAACCAGAAAAAAAAAAAACACAAAAAACAAGAAAAACAGAAAACAAAAAACAAAAATGTCATTACTGAACTGTCGCAGATCATACTGGATTTATATTTTAAAAATTACATGAAACAAACATAGCTACATTAGTGGATGGCTAAACACTACCAGAGAAAAATCAGTCTACTCATGTTCTACAACATTTATTAACATTACTGTAAGTATTGTACAAACTGGCTGTCCCTAAAAACACCAGAAGATGAGATGCTTTGGGTTTTAGTATATCACTCAAAACTCCGACTCTTCAATATGACACTAGCTTAAGTTTCACCCAAATCAGAAATAGAAGGGGCTTAAATTCTTTGCTAAACCCATGACTGTATTATCTAGAGTTGACTATACAAAACAAAGAATAAAACATACTTTATTAACAGCTGCTGTTTTAGCTGTGTAAGAGCTCTGAACTCAGACATGAAGGGGACAGACACCAGAAAGATACAGTTAATCCTTTCTACTTTCATGTATGCTAACAACATGTTACCAAAAATAAAAGAGCAGTACAGTATCCAGGAAATAAATCCCTATAGTCTCTCCCAGTAAAACAGGTATGATCTGGCAAAGAGCACGCCATCGGGGCTACTGGCGTAGTGTGCCTAAATATATTATGGAGGAGATAAACATATTAAGAGGAGATAATTAAAGCAGAAAGATTTTGGGGGCGAGTGGAACAAAAACTGTGCCAGGCTCATCAGGCTGCATAGTGTTAAACCTAGGGCCAGTGAGATTTTTGTTTCACGTGAGCAATATTTGTTGTGTATCTATTTAGAACATCTAGTGACAGGACAAGGGCAGGCATACTTCATTTAATAATAACAACAGTTAAAAACAAATTAAAAAAAGAGCTGGCCAGCCAGCAAACAAAGCAGCGAACGCCTGTACAAGCTGCAGGTCCCAGCTCAGATCCCACAGCAGCACAGCTCGTCACGTACAATGGGACAAGGGAAGGGACCCGTACACCTCCACCACCTCTGAACTACAGTACAGTCCAGGGCAAGGCTGCTGGGGCTGGGACCGTGTTATGGTCTCGGAAGCTCGGAAGGTGTCTCCTTTTTTTGTAACGCAACGAAGTTAAAACCAAAAAAGGTGGGATACAGCTTCTCAGCCGACTGAAGATTTTCCCTCTTTTCCTTCGAAAATTTCATTAATTTTTAAGACATTTTTTCATAAAGGTTCTGCCCTTTTCCCCTTCATGCTATTTAGCAGATTTAGTATAAACCTGACTAGGGATACTTTTTTTTTTTTTTAGCAAATGAAAAAAACCTACACCTCCACACTTGTGTCCCTCCCAATGCCCCAAGCCCACATGTCTGGCAATGTTTTCTTAGGTATTTTCCAAGTCAGGGCTTGATCCTGCATCATTAAAGTTAACAGCAATTTTTCAGTGCGCTTTTTTTTTTTTTTAATAATGCTGTAACTTTATCAACTTCAATACATTCATTTCAGATTTACAGCAGTGGGATATGAATGAGGTCCTTAGTTGTTAGCATCCTGACATCTGCCTAGGAGTAACGTCTGAGCTGTATATTCCATGCCTACACTGCTAGGTGTGACCCAACTACACAGTTAAAAAAAAATTAGTTTTTCAGTCTATACAATTATGTTTCTATGGCAACAAGACATACTAGTCATATCCTTCCTATAAAAACCTCAAATAGTTCATGCATAGGATTTTCCTGTCTTCTGAATGACGGAACCGCCCCAAGAGTAGTTCCCCATGAGGTAACATCTATGGGCTTGGGGCAAGGAGCTATCGGCAACGCCACGATGGAAGTCAAAGAGTCAGAATTGAAGGGACAAACCTCCTCCTCTTCAAACCCAGTCAGGTCCCACCTGTAGTTGAGACGCATCTGTTTTCTCTTCCAGTGTTCCATAAAGGTGGCAGCTGAAACAACAGTTTAACAATTATTTCAAAATTTTACTGCCCAAAAAATTGCATCAGCCTCTGGGATTTGTCTTAGGAGGAATGTTGGCCATGCTCCCCATCGCCTGCTGTACATCTGCAGGCTCTCACCTCCAAAAGGTCTCAGAACATGTAGTACTGTATCGTATACCAGGCCAGGTTAACTTCATTTTTGTTACTCTTTTATTCAACAGTAACGTCTATCTGGGAAATATTGATTAACAGTGCTAGGAGCCAACCTTTTTATCTAGGCAAGCTAAAAGGGCATTTATTACATCCACAGCTTCATGTAGAAAGATGCCTACAATTTTTGAAGGGGTGTAAGAACGTCAGACACCCGAATTTATTTAAATATTTGTATGTGTGACTAATGATATTGTTGGTTTTCATCTGCTTATAATTCCATCCATAAGTCCACTCAAACCTGTGCTTTATCTATACAAAATATGAATGATTTAACTAGCCTTGTACTGATGGGATAGCTATTCCCTCAAAGATATCAAGATAAAGCATTCTTATATTGCTTTAATTACATCCATCCAGTGGTCATAATAGTATGGTTAGCCCTAATCATCACACCCAAACCCAAATACTCATGCCAGCATGAAAGCTGCAGGTGGGCAGGCTGTTAAAGTGGAAGCCTTTAAGGTGTTTTTTTTTTTTCCCCTAGAAACACTGGCATTTTCTTTTTGGTGGAGAAAACTTACAGAAAAGAAACCTTGTTAAAGCAATTCTTGAGTCCCAATGAACAATCCCAGTCTATATCAGTCTATCTGCCTCTGAGACCGAGCAAGTTCTCAGAGGACATATTTAGATGCTGGGAATACACCAGTGCTGTATAATAAATAAGTGATTATGAAAAAGGCGAGTCTACCAAGAACTGGTGTTCCCAGGGGAGCTTTCCGCATTGAGTATTAACAGATGTGCTCAGAAACACTCATATCCAGAAAAAATGGAGGCAGGGAGAGGGTAAGAAAGTTGAGTAGAGAGGAAAGGACACCCTCGTGACTGGAACCAGGCTAGGGTCATGACATTTGTTCGCCTTCCAAGCAAAACCCTCACGTGCAAAACTTACAGCTAAGCCGCTTTTAAGCCATCGGCTTCCTGTAAATCGGGATGGCCATAGCTGTATCTTAAAAGAGCCTGTGTCATTGTCCTGAAATTGCCTCCCCTCTCCCCGCCAGTTCTCATGCCAGGGTCTGCAGCTTCCACGTACAGCAAGAAATATGGACAATGAACGAGATGTCATTTCTTAGTGCTACCAGAAATCCTTCCATGGCATTGACTTACAACAACACAAAATGAAAAGACGGTGTCCGAGACACAGCCAGCTCATTTCAGAAGCCCTTGATGAACATGCCAGGCAGTGATGTGCCGCTGTTTTGCCAAGTGTACCTGCCTTTTCGTATTTCATCTCGGCCCATAAGCATAAGTGGAGCTTAAAAATTCCCAAAGGTTACTGTCCAGATGATCTTACGTGGATTCTCTGACGTTTTTAATGCCATTTAATACCAAACAGCACTGGGCTACGGTCCATGTTTAATGCTGAAATTCTGATGGGGCTGAGTTTGGTGCTATAGCTCTTTCGATGCTTGTGTGAGTGGAATTCTCCAGGCTGTTACGATACTACCACCGCACAAAGAAAGTCTGGCCAAATATTTGCTCACAATAATACCTCTGAACTTGGACTAATTTTCTTGCTATGCTAAAGATGCCTTGGGTCACCTCAGCAGGTTACTTGGGTCTGCCTCAACTCTTCAACTCTACATGAAACTAATAAAACTTCCCATTAAATGCAGAGGTGCTCACAATTGGCACTGGAGACCATATGTGTGCCTATACTTAGAGACAGTCAATTTTTGTTGATGCTATTTCCTTAAAAAAAAATGTGGAAAAAGTTCTGATTTTCCCAATTCAAAAAGACCTTTTTGAAACAACATTATTTTATATGGTATTGTACCACAATAAAATTTTATGGTGATCCTGAAGAACTTGAGGAATATCACATCCCACTCCAAAACTATCTCAGATTTTAAGCCAGATTTTGTACAGAGCACAGAAACTGGCTTCTGCCCGTCTGTCTTACTTTGCCCAAGAATGCAAAAAATGGGTGGAGGAACCCGTAGTTGTCTGCTAAGGAAGGGGAGGCAAACAGCATTACTTTTTGGACAACAGAGCATTATGTGCCAAGATCAATACGGAGTTCACAATAATGGTAAATGAGTGATATCAAAACTGATATTTGACTCTCCATGAGACTATTTAAAGCCTCTGACACTGCATCCTGCTTTGAGGTATATCACATTTCTCCCTATATGCTACATGAAGTGTTCAAGGCCAGGTTGGATGAGGCTTTGAGCAACCTAGTCTAGCGGAAAGTGTCCTTGCCCAGGGCAGGAGGGTTGGAACTAGATGATCTTTAAGGTCCCTTCCAACTCAAGCCATTCTATGATTCTATGGTAAGACGATGATCTGTAAGACAGTGATCCTTCCTCTCTGCTGCGAAGCTGGTTGAGTTCAACCTCCCCCCACTTTCCCTCCAAACCTGCAGTGCTCCTGACTACAAGACCCCTCTGCAGGACCATCCTTCTCCTTTTCCTTAGAGTCCTTGATAATGAGCACTTAGCATCGCATCTGAAACATCGTGATCTCAAACGGAGACATTAGTCAAAAAGGCACTGCTCTACATTGAATTACATGGAACTATACTAAAATCATTTCAGGTGAATGTTGATGTAAAAACGGGTCCTAGCATGAATAAAAACCCGAGCTATGTTTTTAGGATTAAATATAATCCAAAACAGGTTATTTGCTAACTCGCAACAAGGTGTACAGGAGGGGCAAATGTCATCGTGTGCTTCTCTCACTGATGCTGGGCGTATGTGACTATCAAACTTCAAAGCTGGGGGGAATAACACACATTTCCCTGTACTCTGCAGCCTCTCTGTATAGGGCTCCTGGTTACAAACACAGGTTTTGGACCCTGTCAGTTCCCATTTTCACATGCCTTCTTGGCCCGCCTTGAGGACAACAGGAGGCTCCTCTCCTCCAGCACCCATGACTGGTGCTGGGGTGCCCAAGCAAAGAGGTCTCCATCCCTTCTCCAGCAGGAAGGAGAAGAGGCCTCAATAACCATTCCTGAAGTCACGGTTAATATTTTTAACCAAGTTCTACAGACCTGCCAAAAGAGGTTAAGTGATAACAGTCAGCATCAGAAAAAATACCTGTAACACCACAGCTCCCGCTTCGTGGTCTACATGCACGATGTCTGCTTGCTGATAAACTTAATTGCATCTCGGAGCACACTCAAGAATCAATCTTGGTTTGTCCTGAGACGCTAAAGGCCATTACACTTCCCTGTGGAGCCCTCCTCTCAACCCCAGAGTACATTAATACATTTCTTCTGTAATGTTCTAAAGTGGAAGCTGGCTCTGCAAATAGATTTCTTTTTTTTTTTTTTCTTTTTTGGCAAGCTATGCAATCCCGTTAATGAAATTTTGACATACCATGCAGCAGTTTTATGACAGATGCTTAACAATTTCATTTGATATTCATCTTGAGCAACGTTTTGAATTTTAGCCTTCAGTCCAGAATATAAATTTGGGGGTGACAGTTTCATGGGAAAGAAAAAAAAAAATTCTTTATATAATTAACTGCCTCAGTATAAATACACTGCTTTATCTCTTCTGTTTCTTCCTGTTGTATTTTAAATAATTAAAAACTTAACATGAAGGCATATATCTTCTTACCCCAGAGAGCCATGAAGACTGAGAAGAAGACAGTTGCAGGGTTATCAAACAGATGACTTGCGCGAGCAGTCGCACAAGCGGAGCTCATCTTCCAGTAGCTGCACGTTCTGTCACATAAGGGACACATGGTGATGTTGTTTCTTTGGTCACACATTTCCATACTGCAACGAAGTAACATGATACGAAAAAAGCAGTCAGTACATGGCTCTATCTTCCATGCTCCAAGGATCTTTCTTCCCCTGCGCAGCATCTGTTTCTGGTCTATAGGATCATCAGATACTACCCTCACAGTGTTTCCCAGCTCTTGCCCCAGTGAGCAGCTCTGTCCGTAACCTACACCATTGTATGGGCTGAAATCCTCACACGAGGCTGCTGGCTCCCTCCATCCCCAGTCCTACTTCTATTCCAGGGAATAAGAGAGAGCATTACGATAGGCATAAGGCTCTGTGCTTTTTAAGATAGGATCTTAAAGGAAAGAAAAAAATAATTAAAAATAATTATTGTTTTGAAATACTAACTACAGTGATAGATAAGGTACAAGGGAAGTGCTGAGTATCAAGAGACTGGAGTTCAACCAGTTTAGCTTCTCTGCACTCCATCTGTGAAATAGCAACAGTGGCACTCCCTCTGACTTTCTTCAGCTGTTGGAAGCAGTACAAAGCAATCTTAATAAACAAAATGTTTATCTATTTTTCGATATCCATTATCTGCTTTGTTACTTGGGGCTCATGGTTGTTGTACAAACGATGTAATTTTCATCTACAGCTGAAGATGCATTTTCATCTACAGCTGAAGATGCATGCAGGGCAAATAATGCAAAATCATAGGGCTTTGAAAACATTATAATATAAAACCTACTAAAAATTAAAAATAGTGGGTCATAGAGATTTTGTTAATCTGGCAACAGTTGCTTATTTGAGGCACGTATATTTTCGATTTATCTTTCTGCCACGCAATGCCCTCCTCAGCATTCTATAATGGGAAGCACTAAAACCTATCGTTAGCAGTATTTTGTTGGTTTGTTTTAACATAATGATCTGAGTTAAGGTAAAAAAAAAAAAAAAAGAACACCTGAGCAACTGGCCAAGAATTATTTTTAGTGCATCAGTGCAAGCTCCACAAGTAATATTAACAATAAATGCTAACGATTTAGAAATATGCTGTAGTTCTGCTGCTCACTCTCAGCCCTTGGTAGGTCTCCATCGCTTACTAGAAGCAGAAATCAGTGGGACTGCAAGCTCCTGTGTGGAGGTGGCTTAATTTTAAGGACACCTTCCAAAAGACGAAGCATGTGGGGCACGAGGAGGGAGGGAGAGTGGTGGGAGCAGACTGTACTCCAGCAAGCGCCAGTTGGCAGATAGAGCTGGGGAAGCCACGGCCAGCAAACACAGATGGAGTGTTGGGCTGTGGCGGGGGGCTCAGGGCAAGCCCTATAAACTGGGAGGCACAGTTTCAGCTGTGCTCGCCCTAGAACTTAGTGACAAAAATATTTCTAGAGAAAGGTAATGTTTTACTTTGAGTTTCTAGTGGTCTCCAATAGTAGAATTGAATTATTTATTTCTTTTACCTTGGTATATTCTCATCCACAGTCGCACAGCCATATAGGAAAACGATAATCCCTACAATTGAAGCTGGAATAAGCATTTGTGTATAAACTCCCAGCCAGGCAAAATACAGTCCGATCTTCTCTCCAAAGTATTTTCTGAAATACATTTTAAAAAAGAAAGCAGAAATGTTTCCTATTTCTTAAAATATAACATGGCTAAAATTATGAATTGCAGCTGGATTAAGCATGGAGAAAGTAAGATCTGATGATCTGTGGGAATTTTTTTCTTCTCAGAGGACTCTCTTTCTCATGATGCTTGGAGTTAATCCAGAGATATAGGCACATGAAAGCAAGTCAGTCCAACTAGTCATTCCCCTGCCCTATGCTTCTGCTGTGTAAATTGGTATATTGGTATATTTGGATCTTCTGTAGCACATCCTCTTAAAAAAGCCCCTCATTTTCTTCAGAGGGTTTCAGCTCTCACCATTCATTAAAAATACGTCCCATGCAAGCTTTCACACTGAGTGGGATACATCAGCGTGTTTCTAAACCCACAGAAAACTTCTTTTGCCCCAGTGAACTTCCCATTCTCCGGAGTCCCCCGGGGTGGCACCGAGGACAGTATTCCCTCAGGGACACCCACATGAGCATCATGGTGTACAGCTTCAGCGCTGCCCCGTGGAAACACAACATTAAGGGCTGAACTCTCACCTCACCAGGTCAATTGGCTGGTATTTATAAAAGACTCCATAGCTTGCCCACTCCTCACACAGGAGCTGTAAAACAGAAAGGCAAGGTGAAAGCTGAAGCACCACGTACACGGGCGTCTTCTCATTTGATCCCAACAAATGGCAGAGCTCACGCAGTGGACCTGGTCTCACCACTTTGTGGTTTCAACCCAGAATCTGCCGATACATGCTGTCTGTATTAAGTATTAAAACCAAATTTGATGATTTGGCATGCTGTAAAACAGTGATGAATTCTAGTACATTAAAAGGCTCTTCAGGAACGTGACTGATGGATAACTATAGCAGGTATGGGGAGAACAGTCCTGATTTTACGATCCATAGGTGTTGTCTAGAAGAATGGCTGCAAAAGATGAACGTGCTTTGAGTTAAAAGACAGGAAAAACTAGAATAAACTGGTTTGTTTTCACTATACAAACTATATAGCATCCATCAAGATATATCACATCCATCCGTCACTATATCACATCCATCACTCTACAGCATCCATCAAGAGGTGCTGTGCAGAGGTGCCTCCAAGGCTATATTTAAGTTTTTCAGCTTTAAACTAAAAGAACACGATTTCCACTCATCCTTTTGGTTAGGATATGGGCCAAGGGAAGCAATTATCCCCATTAGCGATTTATAAAATTGAATCCCTCACAAAAATAGGTTCCTCTGAGACCTTCAACTTATCCTTTACTTCAGAAAACATATAAATAGCGCTTCTCAGATCTGATTATTTTTTCTTAATTCAGTTTAGTTAACAGAGCGAACAAGAAATCAGGGTGTGTACAAAAACTACTGGAGAGGACTAAGCGTGCTCACTGGCCACCCAGCCGTCATCTCCTCTGTGGGACAAGGGGAAGAGAAGCTTTACATCTGCTTGTGAAGTCAGGTCTCCCTTTCCTGCTTCCCTCCCTGCTTCAACCCAGTGACATGAACTTGGTAGCAGGATGATCTTTAAGTTCCCTTCTAACCCAAACCATTCTGTGATTCTATGTTCCTGGACTAGCTACTGATATTTCAAGGAGACGCTTTGATGGTCACTTCTGTTTTCATTAATTAATCCAGCAACAACATTGTCTTTTTCCTTTTTCTTCTTCTACTGCTCTCACAAATGTAACAGCATGAACTGATTACTGCCGAGGTATTTATTTTCATTGAATATTGGGTAAAGAACAAAAAAAAAGTGAGAAAAATGCAGAGCTCAGTTACACAAACCTCCCTCAATGGGTGAGAGCACCACAACCAGCACAGTTGTGGAACAAACTGGAACGGGAAACCAAGATCTAAACCATTTCTCATTACAGGGAGGACAACGTTATTCATCTTGTTCATAGAAGAATAGACCAAACAGGATGTTATTGCTTAAATCTGTAGGCTATTTTATCATGAGAAACTTGACATATGTCAACCTCCTACATGTCTCCAGTGAAACTCAGCAGAGCGAGGAAGGGCAGACTGGCAGTGCTGCTGCTGCCCAGACCAGCTCCTGCTTCTCACATTTTATCACAGAGAAGTCATACAGCGAACAGTGTTTCTAGAGCAGTTTTACAATTCCCTTGCCAAATCGTTAACACAAACTTTCCAAGCTGCACTGCCGTATTTCTCATGCAAATGTTCAAGTCATTCAAAAAAATACAGCCCCTTTACTTTTACAGAAGTATGACGTCAAAAATGTAAGTGGACTGTGGATTTTCCCCTCTGCAACCCAAAATCATTAATCTTTATTAGTTTCCTTACAATAGTAAGAGCAGAAACTGAAACCCAAAGGCAGGCCTTTATTAAACTGCAGCATTCTTGCAAACTTTATTTTTATTCTGCTTTAGGTTTCTTTCAACCACGTTTCCAAAAGTTTAAGGCCAGCTGCCTATGTCTAGGAAACACTTTATGACTCGAGATCCCTCAACAACCATGTGCACTAAGATCTCTCCTTTATTATTTTTTTTACTTCATTTTTACAAGCTAAGTTTTTGCTGGAAATTAGATTCCTTTTCTGTGATCTAAGCTGGTCAGGCATATCAGGAAAATACTAAGCTAAGGAGATTTGCATCGGTGCCATGTTTCAGTTTTGTACAACACTTCAAACCAAATTTGTGCCTAAAGTACAAATGAATTATCTCATTTGTCCTGACATTTATCAGCCTGATAAACAAAGCACAGCTTCAAAGGCATGATTAGAGGAGATCAGTGCAATAGCTCTAAATATTTACTTCATTTCTATGCCTCAAATCTTTAATTTTGTTGTTAAAAAAGGCACAAGCCTGGCCTAACACTGGATTAGATTAAAGAAAGCTTCATGAAACCAGAAGAGACATGCCAAAACACACCAAAAGATTATTTGAGGGAACTGGAAGTCAAAAGCCAAGGTAAACATTTCCAAATACACAGTGAACTTGTGAAATGAGTGAATTTGTGAGGCCTGAAAAGTTAGTAATAAAGATGATAATCCAGACGCTTTAAGAAAACATGGACTTTCATCCTATTTTTGGTTGAGCAATGAGTTGCTTAATAATGACGTGACAGGTACGTGGTATTTTTAACACAAATCAATAGAGGGAGGGAAATAAAAATCACTGACTTTTAAAGAGCCATTTGCCCCTTAAGGCCCAGCAGACCTTTAATTTTGGGTACCTGGTTTTATGTGATCAACCTAAAGGGCTTTAGATCTGCTTTTCCTACAACCTACATGTTCACAGCATTTATTTGGAGATGTGACCACGAAACAAACTGGAAAGGCAAAGTTTCAAGTCTGAAAGCCCAACATATATAGCACTCAAATTTAGTAGCTCCTTCAGAGAGAACTGGTCCTAACCTCTCTGCTTTGACTTTTGTCTGATATGCAGAAAAAAAGCCTATATTCTTTAAAGAAGCATGATCAGGAATATGCAGTAATTTCACTCTGAATTTCAGAAATCATCATTCCTGCAAAGGGTGAAAAATTTGATTTTTCTTATGGAAAGTATTTCCTTAGAATAATTCCTACTTGTTTTACTACAATGAACAAATGTCTTTCAGTATACAGACAAGCAAAACACAATTTAAACCACAGACTTATGTGAAGCGATGCAATGCATCAGTATACATCCACAGGGCAGTTTCTGGATGAACAGCGCTCATTAAAGCTTTGCTGAGAATGTCTCGTTTCTGATAAATATTCAATCTTTATCTTCCCCAATAACTTTTTATGTTTTCAGTTGTCTCCCTCCTCCCCCAAATCAATTCTGACTCAGATCAGCAGCACATTAATTCAGCAGAGGTTGCAGTGCTGAGACCAGAGCTTGCCATGGAGTGAAGCAGTATTTATGTCAGATATGGATACCAGAATATGACTGAGTATATTGTCACCAGAGCTGGCCTGAAATGCCACCACCTGAACTTTAGGAGGAGTTCGATGTAAATGCTGTCAATATCTTATCGACATGGTCAGGAACATATCATTATCAAGCTTGAGAATTTATACATATCCATACTGCATTCCACATTAAGGCAAATTTAAACACTGGGAATTACTTCTGTATTTCTACCACTTGGCATTAGGTGGCTTTTTTGCAGTATTTTCTGTGAAATCTTGGCAAACAACCAGATTCCAACAGGTGACTCTTCAGGCTGGGACTCTTGTGAATATGTGAAACCCCCTTTACATCAACTTACTTTTCTGTCGTTAGGTTCAACGTTTTCACCTTCATAGTCACCCTTTAAAAAGAGAAAATCTGCGTCATTCAGTGAGTCGTGCCCAGAGCTGCTATGCATCTTGCATACCCATGTATCCCACTCACTTAATGCATCAAAAACAGAAAAAGCAATCTGTAAAATAACGCTGTATTTTAGGAGTTCATCTGTCATAGCACACTTTGTCTTCTGTCATCAGGCACATTAAGAAAGAGTAATAATGTCTGTCACTGGGGAAAAAGGAATGAATAAGTGATAAAGGTGGCCTAAAAATGTCAAGGGAAAGGATGCAGTATTGCCATGGTATTTGGGGTTCAGCTCAGTCCACTTGAAAGAGAAGAGACCAGCTGAGAGAGCTGATCTCTATCCAGCCTCTCCAAACACTCAGGGCTGATTAGATTTGAGGTTTTAATTTCGAGCTATTTTTAAATACAATAAAGGAGTAAACTAAGACAATAAATAACTTGTATACAAGACTATCAGTAGCTGTCTAAAGACGTGAGGCAAGTACATGCAGAGAAGTTTATTTAACCTTTCTGGATTTCTAAGCGATATTGCTGTAGTTTAAGAGTGCCTGACATTTATGATAAACATCAGGCAGATAAAGAGGCTGTTCTGGTCTCAGTTACACAGAGATAAAACACTCGTGGTCCCATGTAAAACCCGTGCGAATGAGGGGAGCAGAAGACTAGGAAGACAAACCTCATCTTCACATCCCACACCGGAAACCAGCACCAGGCTTGACAGCTCTTGTACACTCCCACAGCCAGAGCATCGTGGGCAGCGCGACTGCCACGTCCCTTTGACGTCTGTCAAGCCTTTGTGTAAGGGTCTAGCTAAGAGCATGTGTATGTCAGTTCTAGTTGTAACTTGAACCTTTAAGTAAAAACATCATCAGCATCCAGCTACTGCTGTGCACCTCTGGCAGGATGGGGATCCCCAGCTCGGGTACGAGTGCCACCAAAATTCTCTACCTCTCTCTAATCCTCTTGATGAACACTATAGTTGAACACACTCTTGACATCTTACTCGACTACTCAAAAGTGGATTTCATCAGTAAGAAGGTCTGCAGTCACATCCAGTCCCACAAAATATGTCACTTCAAATCCTTGCTCATGGTTTTTCCTCCAGTGGCAACCAATCACACGGACACACCGCTACTGGCATCTCTGTACTTCCAAGGGGGATGCCAGGGAGATGTGGGTGAGGGAATTAGCCACTTGGTGCCCCAGGAATAAATATGTTTCCTAGCACTGATGCCAGGGATCTTGGGAGCAGAAGGTCAGAAAATAACAGAATTATCTCGTTTGCTAAGCCACTGAAACAACTCTTTTAATATTACGTTCAGATGTCACTTATGATCATCAAAGGTAGAAAAGAGGTGGGGAATTCATTAAAAGTGCGCAGGGTGATGGAAACAACCTGCACAAGTTACTGCAGTCATGATACAAGCGAGCAGGGAGTCAGGATGTGAAACACTCATGTTCGGGATGATACGTAATACATTAAAGACTTCTTGGAGTCAGATAGAAGACAGGTAAAACATATTACAAAACCACTTACATCATGCAAAGGATATGCAGCACTGTAAACTCCATTGGCAAGCAGACTGGTGATCCCTTGAAAAATAAAGACATAATAGTTATTTACAATGTAGACATTAGACAGTCTCACTTTATCATCCTTCCCGGAGATTTCCCTCAAAATAACAGTCATTTAGTCAGATAATGATTTTTCTGCCATCTCATTCCTTTCCATGTAGTTTCATTTTTAATCATATAGGTTATTAAACATGACTCATTTTATGAAATGGAAAACTGCAGAGAGCAAGAGGAAGTCATATATATTTGAGAATCAAGAATTAGAAGCCAATGACTTGAAATTAGTCATTAAAATAAATTACATTTTCTGAAAAGTCAGTTTGATTTAAGGGCAAGCCTGCAGATTTGAAAGTGTGTAGCAGAAGGCTCGATCACAAGAAGAATATGGCTGGAACTGATGGCATATGGGTACAAGCATACACACGCATCATCCACACAAAGTTTTGAATTCATAGCCTTTGCGAAGACCTTGGCGTAATACTTACCATATTTACCACATTTTCGTCTTTTATTTAAAAGGGTAGTTTCCTTCTTTCTTCCCTCTCCTTTCCCTGTTTACACATCCGTTTATTAGTGACATGCATGAGGCTGAAAGCAATTAATGCTTCATCTATAAAATGTATGCGGCATAAGGGACTTTGAGGAGTCCTGCCTTCCTTTGCGAAGACCTTGGCGTAATACTTACCATATTTACCACATTTTCGTCTTTTATTTAAAAGGGTAGTTTCCTTCTTTCTTCCCTCTCCTTTCCCTGTTTACACATCCGTTTATTAGTGACATGCATGAGGCTGAAAGCAATTAATGCTTCATCTATAAAATGTATGCGGCATAAGGGACTTTGAGGAGTCCTGCCTTCCCAGGTGTGGCATCACTCTTTAACTTGGGGCCAGAGTACGGGTGGGTCGGGAGGAGTTAACATATGAATTTGGAGGAGCACGATAGTGAGGGGCTCTTCGACACTGCAGCTCGCTGCACCATTCCCAAAGGTCACTTGGCTGGACCTGGACCTTTGAGGGCTGCAGCACATTACTTCTCTAAGGTGCTTCTCTAGTGTTCTTGCTGCAGCTGCTGGCATTAATATAGCTACTTCCAATTATGGAGTATTACCTACGTCTGAAGGTGTCGTGTTATCTGCGAAGATACATTTGAGGATTCAACGAACCAGTCTTGGGTGCTGAATCAGAGCTAAGTCAAAGACTTGTCTTTGTGCAAGGTTAAGTTGATTAATGTGAATTAAAAAAAAACAATTAAAAAGCTGGCCACTGGCATCGTAGAGAATTTAAAAGGACTTAGAAAAAGAAAAGAAAAACGATGTGCTACAGTGTGCTCCATGTTGCCCATCAGTTCATTGCTAAGAAAAGAGTGTGGGACTGGATTTGAAGGAACAGCAACTATGAACCAGGAAACAGATCACTGTAGGTTCACCGAGACATTTTGGATCGATCTCGAAATGAGAGTTTTTCAAGTTCATTAGCATTTTCAAGATACTAATCATCACCTGGACAAATTGCTCCAGGAGTGCTCGGTATCCTGCAATATCATTAATTTTCAAAGCCCTGGTTAAGATTATACAGTACTATGAATTGCCTACAAACGTTTCCACACTTCTGGCAGAAACAACTAGTGAGCAGATAAATTATTTTTCTAGGGCTGTGTGACCAACCAAAGAGCTACATAGTACCCTTCTATCTATCAATATTAAACAATGAATACAGATTCACGTTTTCACAAATTTGCAAAATAAATAACAAAGACTGCAGTGTTCACTGGGCAGCTGCCTTTTTCCTGCTGGGCAGAAATATTGCAGCATTATCTGTGTTTGCTCAAATCTGTATGCAACCTTTTCTGGGTTGTAACCCAGCATTCCAGCACTGGGACACAAAGGACTTGATTGAGTTATGCTGAGCATACCCATGGACAGGCTGGCCTAATGACATTTTTATTAGGTATACCATATGACCTTGCTAGTCTTTGGAAGAAGAATGATCCAGGAATCCTAACACTTTACTTTCCTTTAGCCTCTGCCCTATTCAACTAATCTGTAATGTGTTTTCCATTTCTGGACCAAAAAAAAAAAAAAAGAAATAAAAAAAAAAAAATCAAGTGAGTAACCAACTCCAAGGCAAGAATTCAAACTGAGCTGTGTGACCTTCCCCTTTCAAGAGTGCAAATATGTAATTTCCAATTAAAACGATCCAGCATCAGACTCGAAAAGGGTCCAGAAAGTCACAGATTATTTTGGATTTCCCATGCTACAGGGAAATAGTGCTTCTGTTAATACTGGCTGAACACCAAAATTTAGTGTATATAAGGACTCAACAATTGTACATTGTATGTCGTTACTTCAACAGAGAAGTCAAAGCATGGAAATAATTTCTGGCATAACTATTCTTCTATTATTTGATGTATTTCTAAGCAGCTGATGGGTCAATATTGAACAGAACTACCTGTAATTCCAGTTCCCATTGTTTTATTTAACTGCTTGTAGGCAAATAAATACTGTAACAGATTCCAACAGTTACCAAATATTTTCTCCAATGTTCATGCATTTTACTTATCCAAATTCACTTTTATTCGTTGTCTGTTAAGGAACTTGGATATGAGGGCATTCAGCATTCCACCTTACATAATTTGGTTTACCATTAACTATTTGTTAACATTAGTCCCCCAGTCAAGTATATACCTATATCTCTTGATACATATAAAATAAAGTATCTAACAGCTGAGCAGGAAAAGCTGCCAACAAATCTTTAGGGCAATCTGATTTGCAATTCATGTTTATTTGTATTACGAATTTAGTTCTTAGACCACAAGCCCTAAGGCTGAAATCCTAAAACTACTGGCTGTGGCAGTAAGAACTTTACACCCACTGACTTGCAACAACTGTTTTGAGGGCTAAGAGATGGGCCAGCTTTCAGGGCACACCTTAGTCCTTGGCCGTTCCACTGGATTAATCTCAGTTCCGCTTAGGACAGTGTTTCAGGCAGTTATCAGTTAAGACCATTTCACTTAAGTCATTGAAAAGCCATCCCATGGTAAAAATGTGAGGTTCCTACTTAAAAGGAATGGGTCAATCCATAGACTTTCACTGCAGTTATTGAAATTAACAGTAAAACCTTCATCCGCTTTAGTGAGTGTAAAACTGAATCCATCGGTTTATATCACCAACCAGTCCTGCTGCAAAGGACCTAAATAACATCTGCAGGGCCTATATCCTCATTTACCATTTAATTTAGAGTTGAATCTATAAATTCACATTTGAAAAAATTCCAAACAGGTACATTAATTCAATTAAATTTCCAAATAAAACAATTATGTCCACATACATCAAACTAGAGTGCAGGGGGAAAACCTAAACTCCACAGCCAGTTATAACTTGCAGTTGTTTTCAATACTTGAAAATGATATCGATCTTAAAGCTAAATAAAGTTCCTTACCCATGCTATATTTTGCTTTGGTACATGTCGTTCTTTTCAATATTTCATAAACCTATAGAAGTAAAATAAAAGAAAGGAAAGGGTTACTTCAGATACTGCCAGCGAAAACCACAATCATTTTTGTGTACAGCTCAGATATTGGCAAAATCAAGACGTAAATGAAGTCATCATTTTTTAAGAAAAGTCATGGTATTCACGAGAGCAGGGCTTAAAGATTTCCATGCTGAGTTACCCGTACAAGAGAGAAAGGCTTAACTAAATAGCCAGCTACCAAGATAACCGATTGGGAAAAACAGGGTTACATCTAACCACTCATATAACAAAAACACTATTTTTGCTCACATAAGACATCGATCAAAGATCAGGAGCCCTCTTCTACCCAGACGAGGCAGTGTGCTGGGCCCAGCTCTTCCCTCACCTCTGATGGCACAAGCTGGCTTCAACCCAAGGACTTCAGCAGAGCTTCAGGTTCATAATGTGTATGCATCATGCAGTCATTTATCAGAAACTGGACTAACACAGGCTGACCTTAAAGTTTCTGAGCTTGCATGACCTCGGTGGCGAAACAGATGTATTTATTTTACGATTTATTGTGTTTATTGTCAAATAATCCTTGCACTTCTCGGCGTGCCGCCTGAGCCCTCAAGCTTTCGTCCTGCCACCCGCTCCCAAGCAGCGATGCTCTTAGGCAAGGCAAGGGCCTGACCAGTACGAGGCTGGCAGGGGAGCGGAGGAAAACCACAGGCAAAGGCACTTGCTGCTCATTGCCGGGCCTGTCCGGGGAGTCGTGGACCGGTTCCCTAGGGATGCTCGCTAATCCGAGTGCTAACTCGGCTGCTGCTTGCCTGATTCACAGAGGGAAGCAAGTGAGGGCATAGGAGGCAAGACTCGCAGCTCGTCTGCCTGTTGTCTTCCAATTCCAGTGAATTAAAAGGCTGTCACAGAGAGATTTCCAGTTATATAATTTATTGTAATAAAAAAAAAAAAAAAGGTTTTTGGCTTAGTTTCTATTCATCAAAGATTCACAGGGAGTGACTAGATTCCTGTTCATTTTGCAGTAGGTGGAAGGGTCAATATTTGTGTTCTGGTTTAAAAATACATAGGAGAGTCAGGAGAGAACTTTAAGAAACAAGAACACAAAGAGAAATGCACACAGGAGAAAATGATGCTGGGAAACACTCAATATGTCTTTTATTACTGAGTGATTTACAGGGATTTCAAACAAAGCAACATACTACCAGCCCTATTGTTATATGCCCAGTGTTCCCTGAGTGGTTTAAAAAATCCCCATCCCTCCTCATCCTCCTAGCCTCTGTTATGAGCTCCTTTTGTTTCAGTCCATTTTTCAAAGTTAGTCTTTCTCACCTGCTTGTCCTACAGTGCCATTTTGTCTTGCTACCTTTCTCAGACAGCTTGTTGTTGTGAATTTTAACTCTTCATTTGCTCCCTTAAGTTTCATGTACTTCAAAGTTTTTTTACTATATATAGAGAGACATATAAAAGGAAGTCTACAAACAAAAGCTATGCTATTTTTTAATCTCAAACGAAATGTTTGCCTTTTTCTTTTCCATTTCTGTCCTGCTCGATCTGCCTTCCCTGGTCAAACCCACCCAGCCCTGATAACCTGCGCTCACATCAAATCAGTGCACTTCAGGCTACAGAGGAACTACATCATGGGGTCCACACACTGGAATTTCAAAGCAGGAAAGGGAAGTTAGATATCTTATGCCCCTTATCACCGTAGCAATAAAAGACAGCTATAATTGTGATATGAGCTCTTTTTGAAACCACTTGGCATCCAAAAGGCTAATGTTAAATATAAGATAAAAGCACGCTTACAGTCACATTCCAACACACCGATTAGCTGCAGTGGAATGGGGCAAAGAGTCCACGTTATACTTTGAAAACTGTTGCGGCAAGTGCTGCTTGGCATGGTCCCTTCCAACCGCCCTGGATGTCATATGAGCTGTCCTTTCAATTTTCCCCTCAGTGGCTATAAAGGGGGCTGCCCCTTCTCCCTCACTCTATTTTATGTTCTGTAAGTCACAAGGAAGCACTCAAAATGTAGTTTGTGATATCATATTCCTGTATCAGGCTTCACTTCTGTAAGTAAACTGCAGAAGTTTAATTACGAGACGAAAAGCCCCATGCTAGCACTGAAGGAGTAGAAAGACTCTCCAAAACGAAGGCAGGAATGGCTCAGCCCAGTCTCAGTGCTGTGTACGTGTACATCACACTTGCTAGCGTAACAAAGGCGAACAGATGCATAAAAAAATCAGAATAAGATACAATTTTCTCTCCTTGTTGCATTTGTTTCATGTAAACTTTAATGTTAAATAAAAATTGTAAATAATGTTAAATAAAAATCAAACCTCAGCGCTTTTAACACCATTGTAGAGAATTGCCCCCAAAACCTATAAATAATATTTCCTGTAAATAGCTGGCTGTTTCATTGGAATTTGTCTTGGGAGATTTCCCAGCATTTTATAAAAACAGCAATGTATAGTTACGAAAAGGTACATGAGTCACAAGGGTGTGGGTAGCTGCTGGCAGAACGAGCGGTAGAATCTAAATCTATACCTTTCTGGTGATATGTCTACTAAGAGACTATGTTTCAGATTTACTGTGAACTAGAAAGAAGATGCAAGTTATTTTCCAGAAGGTAGCAATCTGTTAGTATCAAAGACTATTCATTACATAAGCTAAAGCTGGAAATGCTTCATTTATAATTTCAGTAACTGATGTCACAGGCAATCCCTGGCATTGGGTAAAGAAAGGCAAACTTGCAGCAGGCATTGTACTAAAGCTGGCAAAGGGGCTATTAACACCGTGACTAAGGCACTATCCACCATAAATTATTTATATACAGTACTTACTATAGTGCTTCTCGTTTTGCTGTCAAAGAAGGAATCTCTGTCAGACAAATCAAATCTGTTAAAAGATTAAAAGGAAACCCATTAGCTTAAAAAAAAAAAAAAGCTAGTAATTTCCTGCTCTTGTTGACCCCTTCAATATTTTCATTTCTCCTGGGGATCTCTCGTAGCTGACATTAAAGAATAGCTTGTAGAAACCTCATTAAGAAGAAAGCTCATCCCAACTCTCATATTTTAAAGGGGCCGCTTACACGTTTACACTGGTTTCACATATTTATAGGTTTTTCTGTGCAAAAGGAACTGTTGATGCTCATTTAAGTTGAATTCTGAACCACTGCTGGCCTTGAATTTCTCCTAATAATCTTTACATTTTGACTGTACCTAAACCCTGGTAGGCCACTCTTGCCTCCCTTACTTAGCAAAGCAAAGACACAGGTGCTCTTACTGCCAAAAGCCACCGCCACAAACAGCGTAAGGCACATCCATCCTTTTGGGCTTTCTCTGAGCCACCACGCTCCTTTGTTGTAGGAACATCCTACACGCAAATAAATATATAAATACATTTCTTGCAAGTCCAAGACATGTCAAATGCCACATACATTGACTGGCCCAACTAACATACACAACTCCATCAGTGTTCTGCATCCCTTGATTAAAACCCAAAACCTCTGTATGTACAGTGAAGAAATCCTGCCCTAAGACTGTTATTGTTCCAGCTGGCACATACACAAACACAGCCTTCAAATCTTCTCCTCTGGGATGCTGGCCAAGGAAGAGCAGCAGCAAACCAATTCAAGGCAGTTGAAAACTTTGGCTGGGCCCCACCTTATGATTTTTTCCTACACCCACGTTTACAGCTGTTCCTACTGATCTGAAATCGATGGCAAAGCTACCATGGACTTCACAGCATTTCCAAAGTCAAAGCCTGGTTGGCAGCATATGTGTGAGCTGCCTGTACCAGGTGAACAAAATTATTCTGAAATTTATCAACCCACATCTCTGGCTACAAATTTTGCTGAGCATTTTGTTTTACATGGAAAAGAGACTATTAGAAACCACATCATAAATCTTGTTTGGCAGTCTAACAGTTGATGTGTCTAGTTATATAGGTATGTATTATATACCAAAGCAGCAGCAAAGAGATTCCACAGAGGGACTCTACAAAGCCTCATTCCTCAAAAGTGAGCCAAAAAAAAAAAAAAAAAGTTAAATTTACTGCAAAATTAAAATATTCTTTACAGTAATCACTAATGTAGCATTGGCATTCATTTTCCCTTTCACATTTTTGGCACCTTAGCTATTATCAAGAAAGCTGGAACCTGTTGACATGGACATTTAGAGAAAGTTTTCACTTACAGATGCTGTTTCTCTCTGGAGAAGGGGTAGGAGAGGCGCTTCACTGTCTGGGGTTTGTGTTCTGCTACTTTTGGCTGGATGGGCTCTGTTATTTTTTGAATCACAGAGTTAATCTTTTTCAGAAGACCATGGGTCTGATTGATCTGATACATCTAAGTGGACAAAGAGAAAAAAACCCAGTAAAACTGTATTGCTCTTTAGTTATGCATAAGAGAGAGTGAACTGTAAGGAGTAAACCATCAATTAAATAAATACATCAGAATAAATTATCGAGGGGTATAGATTACCTTCTTGAAAACCTTCAGAAACACATAGATGGATGGGAAAGTCAAACCAAGGCAAGCAGAGGAAGACTATTGCTTTTCCTCTGAGCCAAAGCATGTCCCGTGTGTATGATTCCATATAATCAGGCTAAGGTGTTTAGTGGAGATATACTTGGCACTGGCTCCTGAGACATCTGCTCCTCTGGCATTTACTATTTTCTTGGTGCAATGGGACAGAGAAATGGAGGAGCTACAAAGCCCCTGTGCAATACAGAAGTGCTCTCCTCTCCCAAGAGGCTTTCCCAGGAATATTGCGCAGGTTTCAGGAGTTTCCCCTCTCCCATATAAAGGAACCAAAATATCCTGAATCGTCTATTGCAGCTCTGTAGCACTAAATGCAGGAATTGTGTTAGCAGGTCACAAAAGAGGATTACAGGCTTCTCCCTTCTGAGCCACAAAACCTGTGTGCAGATCCAGGGCAGGGCTCCCACTGCAGGAAGATGTTCAGCTGGAAATAAGGCTTTAGGGGTCTGGGGCAGCTCTCAGGTACATCACTTCTCCCAGGCAATGCCTGCAGGCTTAGGTGGCCTCTTTCACACACACGAAAAAACGACCACAAAACATCCACCTTAACTTTTCTTTTGTGGCAAAGCAGCTTTAACCACAGGATCACAACAGACTTTTTTTTACCTAATTGTGCTTCTGATTAAAACCGGTGGTAAGTGAGGCAATAATGGGGATTAATATGAAATCCAAACCAAAAGGGTGGTTTTAGTGTTGTAATAAATAACCCTGGGCTTTGAGACTGTCTCTTGCTCCATTATAGACTTCCCTCTGCAGTCTGGGACATGCACTTAGTACGTGTTTAAATATTAATCCATCTCTAAGCTGTGCTCACTGAACAGGTAGCTATCTATCACAGATGATGTAGAATTGATGAAAATATACTGTCATTTCTTTAATGATATTTCAAATATTCTGAAAGGTAATTTATTTGGTGGTAGAGTAGTCCCAGCTCCTGCAAATGTGACCAATAATGTGTATGAAGAGTCACTAAAACCAGCGAGACTACTGCATGAAAATTGTTACTCTTCCATTCATTTTTAGCAGTCTAGCCTTTCAAGTGAGAAAAAACCTCCAAAACACACACATAAATTTCATCATCACTTGCAACCTCTATTTTTTGAAACACACTGAGAGGATGAGGCATTGTATGAAATCACTCTCATTGCGTACAGACAGCAGTAGCGGCTGGGAATTCTTGATTTCCATTCCTCCTTCCAGTTATTCTTTCTGCTGTCCCAAGCATGCAAGTTTGTGACTGCCATTTTCTGTAGAGATTAGTTAACTATTTTAAAAATGCTTGTGGGAAGAAAAGCCTGCATTTGTACGGTGCTCACAGATGAGCATATGTTTAAACTATGCCTTCCAGAGGGAAAAAATAAAATCAGGACTTACCTTTTTTGTGGGCATCTTAAGCTTAAGAAATTCTGCCTCTCTACACAATACGTTCCAGGGTGCATGTATTTTTACAAATCCAACCCCATGGATTTTAGTCTTTAAAAAAACACAAGAGAAAAGATTACTGATGAGACGAAATGAAGTATTTTTCCCCTTGTGTTTCGCACATATTTAAGGAACAGTCTGTTACCACCAACACACTAAATCTCATCTGAGACAACTAGACAACAGGACAATCATTGACCACCTCTCTGTGCTGAGCTGCTATAAAATGTGACTCAAAAATGCTATTGTTTTCCAGAACAATTACCACAAGGTTAAACAGATAAAAATTGTTTGGGACATAAAACCTAATGATGATGGATACAAATACAGCCTAAGCCAGTTAAATTTGAAGCATAAGCATCCAGCCAAATGGTATGATTTCGTGAGTGAATTGTAATTAATGGAGCTGAGAGAGTCCCTGCTGCCTCCTAAGAGTTGCTCAGTATCTCAAAGGACCAGAACTGCAGTAAGAAAGGAGCAGCCTCAGATAGAGATGTGAATATCTATATTAAAACACTACGTATTTTAATTAGGAAAACTGCTAGGGAGAATTCAACAAAACAAAAGGAGGAAAAAAAAAAAAGATAAATGTTAATGATAATATTAGCACTATGCTGGCATTCCACTAGTTCTCTGAGCTCTGTTCAAGATGGCTGGACATGGGGGTTTGCTTCTGGTACTCCCACCTATACCTGTATATACTCCCATGGGAGTAATAATTTCAAAGCCACTGGACAAATGATATCAAACTAGCAGGCATTCAGCAAGCAGAAGAGAAAGCAACTTTAATGAATCTTTCTAATCTTGCTGCTGTATCAACTCAGGTATTTATTATAACAAGCTTTCACGCAGCTGTATTCCACACCGGCTTTCTAGAAATTGCGTTACTCAGAGGACTTAACTCACTGCCAGCCTTCCCAGAAGGCACGGCTTCCAAACCACCTTTCAATTTACTTCACTGAAAAGAGTTTAAGAGACTTAGCAAACATCATCTGTTCAAGAAACCTTTGCTCTTTCTGCAATTAGTAAGGCCTCCAGTGCAACTTTGTGGCATGCTCTTCAAGCCCAAATGATCAGAGTTTTTTTTCCCCTGCACCGACGTGCTGGATATGGAAGCTGATGTAAATCCCTTTGGCTTTTATCTCTATATGTTTCTGATCTGGTTTGGTATCTTGTACTGAAAGGACAGGGTTCTCTCTCATGTACGGTGTCCTGGCTTGAACCTTGAGCCCACCTGCACCATTTGAAATCGTATTACATGTCATAGGTGGGGAACTCCCTTCTTGCAAAGGATTTAAATACCTATGACTTGGCACAGGCAAGCTTCCAGTTCACTACAACAGCTTGCAAGTTTGATGGAAAGCAAGTCTTATTTTCACATGGGACATGAAGTGTGAGGGGTTTTTTGTATTACACCATGCAAAATAGATATATTTTAATAGATATATTACATAATTAATCTGTATATATATACACACACTCCATAATACACATGCCTGTGATTTGTGAATAATAGGTGGCAGATTTAGTTTTTTAACACTCTGACCACAGGTCTAGGTGCTTAATCTCAACTTTTAGATCCTGTAAATAAAACCAGCATAAATGTTTACCGTCCCTCACAGGAGTTTAGGGCATACTGGTTCATCAGTTAATTGGAATAGCCTTCTTTGAAATTAATACGGCTGTGGCTATTTCTACTAATCGCACACTGGCAGTACTTCACACACATCATTTTTTTATACAGTCTAATGGTCTTTTAATAGAATATACTGTTTTCAGGGTACAGGTGAAAGGCGTTACAAGCTGTACTGTTCATATCTAAGAATGGAAAGAGCAAACTGTAATACAGACCCACGCACTCAAGCTAGAGCATTTACCAGAACCTCTTGAACAAATTTAGTTCTCTTTAAGTCTATATAAAAACATCACTGTCTGTATCAGGTATTTTTCATCAGAACTGGAATTATCAGTGGATCCAAATCATAGCATACCGTAAACCCACCAAACTGGGATTAGCGTTCAGAGCAATTTAATCCTCACTTCTAGATAGAGCAACACATCAACAATCTGTGTTGCAACAGTGGACATGCTACGAGTCCTGGCCAAGAAAAGTAAGAAATTTCATCTCATTGGGGCATTAACACCACCACAGCCCATTCCTGTGAAGCAAATTAAACCAGTGGATGAGGATGGTGCTGTCAGAACTGAAATCAAATTCTGGAAGAGTTGAGTTTGTGTAACTTTGATCAGAGCCAGATTCACAGGAACAGCTCAGCATCTCCCAGGATTTAACCACCAGTTGTCGTCCCCCCCCCATCTTTGACAGTTTCAAATGGCTCCTTACATCCTCATCGCGTTCCAGTTCCAGACCAGCCTCCACGAGGTTCCCTTCATACTCCTCCCTGCGAAACCTCTTGTCATCTTCGTGGTAATCCACGTGAGGTTCGCTTTCCCCCATTTCCAGCTGCACTCCCTTCCCGGGAAGCGGCTGGTCCTGCTTGGTGCTTCGGGCACTTGAATCATTGTGATGAACTCTCCTGGTGAGTGTCCTCCCTGCCGAGGACTTCTTGTAATGATAAACTAGGATGTAGTCTACTTTTCTCTTGCCGTCCCTGAAGTAGAGTCCATATTTGCAGTCAGCATCTGGATTTTTGGATAGGGAATTTAATAACTGGAAGCAGGGAATGGGAGGGTGGAGAGAAGAGAGAGGAGAAGAATAATGAGTACAAGCACCAGACAGACCATATCCTTGTGTCAAGGACTTCTTCTTGCCTGGAGCACACAATGATCCGTCTTCAAACAGCATGCATATGGGTGCTACTTACTCAAAACAATTTTGCAAGTTAACACCTGCAATTTTTTGATACCCAGCTAGGATTTTATTGGCTGGAAATAAATAGCTAAAATGACTGGGATTTAATCTAATTACCAGCACACTAGCTTGTAAGTCAGCTACTTGGTGGATTTAGTTTTCTCCTTTGGGGGTTAATCACCACTAAGATCATCTGTCCTTTGCCACCCGAGACATCTGTGTTTCAATTCTGACAAATAGATTAATATCATGTGCAAACATTTCTCACTTGCCTTATCTATCGTTGCAAGTTTGTATCATCTGAGAAAGAGATCATCTGAGATACAGACTGAAGGGAGCCAGCTGGTCACCAAGTGCGGCCAAAAATGCAGATGGACTGTAGCCAGGGAAGTGGGTTCACTGCTCACTGAGTTCATTGCTTTTTTCCCCCACTTATAAAACCCGTGTCACTTCACAACCTGATAGTGGCAAAGGCTTTACTCCCATTTCGAATTAACGCTGTGTAAGTGTTGCAAGATGCAAGAAATGTTAAATCTTAAAACACAATTCTATTTCCAAGCATTTATCTGAAAAATTGCATGGAGCAACTGCAGAAACATACAAAAGTACTAACAATTATTCATTTTTACTTTCAATAGCACTTCTCATGCATCATTCACAATTCTATCCTTGGAGATGCACAAACTATTTAAAAAAAAAAAAAAAGAAAATTCACTAGTAACTTGCATTTGTTTTTGCAAAAAATACTCATCGCAGTAGTGGCTTTTCAAGGACGAGGGACATTTTCTGGCTTTTAAATTTACAGAAGAATGTGAAGCCTCCACGCAGGAAAAAAATGACTTGTGCTCTGAATTATAGCAATTTGCCATCCGTTGCAAATCATATTGGTCAAAACCCTTTTGGTTTTGTGTGTACACCTTCCACTTATTTCAGACATAAAACTTCAAACGTAAGTTATTTGCAAACAGTTGTTTCTAAAACAGCCCAATTTTTTAACCCCAGATGAAAAGAGCAACCTCTGAGCTTACTGTACAGTATATCACAGCCAATATAGTCAAAACTTCATTGAAATCCACCCAACGTTACACAAATTTGCATACTCCTCTGAACATCGCTTCGGGGAGGGCAGGTCCCAGCTACCGTAACTATAAATCAATGCCTTTAAGGGACTGTTCTTCCTTTTTTGCCTCAGGGAGATTTTCACTCAGACAACAAATTCGAGCAGCAAACCCCATCTTCTTGGGTTTGGAAGGAGGAGGGTGTGTACCGAAGAAGTAATTAGACAAGCGTAATGAGATGAGTGCGTAGCCGTAACACGCAGCAAGGAGGACTGGAGACATCAAGAAGCCCCAGATGCCAGGCAGGGTGTGGAGCAGCCGTCTGCTGAGGTGGGGATGCCCAAACGCTCATTGCTTTCCAAAGTCTGACTTGACCATGCCTGCCCAGGGCCAGCTTGGCTGCAGGTCCCCGTATCTCCTCAGTCCCTCATGGCTCTGCTCCATGCCTGCCTTTGCTGCTTCTCTCTCCTTTTCTTTCAGGATCCCATCTCTCTTTTCCATTTAACCTAAACCCTTTGCTCCAAATACGTCAATATATAATAAAATAACATAGCATTTGCTGCCACCATGGAGTTCACTCTTTGTCCTATTCCCTCTTTCCCCTGCTCCACGTGTGTCTTATTTAGCCATGACAGTAACACATTCTTCGGGGCCCAAGTTGCTGATGTTTGTGCCCTATCTAGATATTCCTATTTAGTTCTTAAGCATAACGACGATATAAAAGATCATTAATAACTATTACTTTCTGATTGTTTCATGTTTAATGGCATGCTCCTGTGAATTCAGAACACTTTTTTAAATGCAAGCTAACAGTCTGCTTGTGGCAAGCAACTCAGTTATGCAAATTTCTACAGAAATAAAATATTAAGAAATAGTAACTAACTGGATTTTCACCTCTTCAAAGTGAATAGTTGTTGTAAACAAGATATAGGAACACTAGGATTTCTTTTAAGATAACTAATTGCATTTAATTTTTAAAGATGTGTTGATCTTACTAGTTCATTAAACACCAATTTCTGAAAAACTGGGCTGAACCAATGGATGTTCAGATAAGTGCAGAGAGATAAAACAGGCAAAAGAATCAGACCCCAACCACTTCCTACCTTCGTTGGACTGACTTTATGAGCAACAGCAATTAGTTGGTCTATTCTGGAGACCAATAAATAAAGAAATTGGCAGGATCGAAGAGGGCTCTTGAAGATGACAGCAGTGAGCGCACCGGATATTTCTAACTGCCTGGGGAGCTCAGGAGAGATCAGTATATCCTGGCCACAGCTCCTCTTCTCCTGGAGCATGCCTTGGGTGGAAAAAAGTAGCACTAAAAATCCCTAGTTTCTCTGTTTCTTTGAACCACTGCCACCAAGAAGGGGACAAGTCACACTGCGGAAACTGAATGAGGCTTCTTGCCATTTCTTTGAACTTTCCTGTTGAAAAGCCGACTCACTGATCAGTTAGGAGAAGGTGCTGCACTGTGGACACTAAAGTCTCAATAAATTTATTAACATATGAAAATAGCTATATCCCACTGTGAAAGGGATGCAGCCGAAAGACTCGAAGAAGCCTGTTGGTCCTGTTTTAAGGAAATAAATGGTTAGATTCTTTTAATGATGTTATACTAATGCTGAAAGGTACTCATAGGCCACATCCTTTCTCATGGTGCTACTACGCGGAAATAGAGAGCGAGCTGCATTGAGTTAGACCATGTAAGGCTCATGTCCCTTCAGTTGCAAATGAGACACGGAAAAGACACTTCAGTTTTACCACAGCAGGAGGGATGTTTACGCTCTGATAGAATTATTCCTCCACACTCCATCCTAATTAAGCACAAGCATAACGAATCAAGTATTGCTTTTCCTGGTACATCTTTCCCCAGTGAGATCTGTTATATAGCTCACTCCACCTCAATTCCTTCATCTGAATAAACTTCTTTTCATGTGTTTCTGACATAACCAACTCTTAATCCTGTTGGGTATTCATACTACTATCTTTAAAATCGGGGTTAAAGAATTTAACCAAGGCACAGTTAATGAGGGAAATCTAACCTCTATTGTGTGCTACAGAACATTAGTTTAATGTTACCTAATAGCTTTTGTATGAAATTTCAGGGGTTTTTTTTCTGTTCTGCTCTATAGGGGCAAACAGATTTGAAGGCTGCCACAGCCTTACTGCCAGATTGATTATTCTGAGAATAGCCAACCCCTTTTTTACGCTACAGATTAAACAAGGATCCCTTGCTTCGCTTCTTCACATCAAAGATCCAACCCCACTAAATTAGCATGTACTGTGGCTGGTGGCAATCCTCCTCAGCACCTCTGAGAAAGGGAGGGAGAGGATTTCAGGGCATCCTGGGAATAGAAAGAATGAGAAATAAGCTTAGGGATAAAGCACAGTACACCAGCTATGACACATCCAGCAAGTCCTTTACTCACTGTACTCTCATGCTGGTCATATCCTATATCCTCAATAGCTCGGATGTTGATAATGTGGATCCCCTTCTCCTCAGCAGGTAGACAGGAGTATTTCTTGTTCATCCTCATTCCCGTCTCAGCCGGAGCCTCGTTGAGATCTTCTGGCAGAAAATCCACCCCATGAAACTCGCTGCCTGCGTCTGAGAAGAAAAGGAACGATTTCATCAGGACACTTTAATCCCAATGCTTGCTCCTCCCAGAGCCTCCCAAGTTGAAACCTACACTCTTCCTGCCACCTTCTGCCAATGAGCCCTTGTGCAGGGCTCCCACCCTCCTTCTCAGCTTTCCCACAGCCCTCTTCAGCCCTACCTAGGTCTCCTCCTCCTCCAGAGCAGTGCCGAGTTAACTTCTTTTCTGCACTGCTGTCTCAGGATATGTTTACTGTATCGTCTCATAGAATTACATTTCTCGGCAGGAGAAGGAAAAAAGGGGGAAAAAAGAAAAATAGTCTAAGAATTAGCTGGTGACAATAGATGGCATAGTGTTTTCCCCTTTTCAGAAAGCATTTCCTCCTTCAACAAGCATTTGTTCATGCTGAAAAACTAAGCAGTGGGCTTCCCTTCAAGTACCTATGTACTCCATCTGATTTACTGAACCATTCTTATTTAGGTAGCCTTGAAAATCTGAGGTTTTCTCCCTCTCAACCTGTCAGACATCAGCACTGTTTCCACTTACTATTTAAGTATATAGGTAGGCTAAAGGATTTCATGTAAAAATTTCACTACAAACTGAGCAACCAGATAACTGATAAAATGCAAACTAATGGTTGCTTATGTGCATTTATACAAGCAATGGACAGCAAAGTTTTCTGAGATTTGATTCATTTTAACATTGAAGTAAAATACTGCAGCCTTATGTCGGTTTTTTTAAAACCATGCAGGAGCAGGAGTTGCTTGTCTAAAGAGTGAAGATAAAGCAAGAATTTTAGAATTCAGCCTTGAATGGATACTAAACTAACTCTCTCAAAAAAAACAAACAACGAAAACATGCAGGGGAGCACGCTTTAATAACAGCTATATTACAACAGGCTGTTGCTGCAACTAGTTTAACACTCTTGTCTCTGGAGCAGATAGCAGCAGAAATTGTACAGAATTAGCCCATTAGGAAAAAAATACTTCCCTCCTACCTAGAGCTGCCACTAAGCTTACGATGAGGTGAGGATAGATATTGCATTTTAATTAGCTGTCTTAGCCTAAGAGCATGTTACCCCTCTTCACCAAACTTCCTGTCTGGATTTGATTGAACTTAAGGGATGACGTAGAAGGAAGAGAGAGGGAAAAATCTCATTCCCAAACAAGTTTGCAGACGATGTGAAACCGAGGAGCATAGTTGATAAGCTGGAGGGTAAGGCTGCCACTTCAGGAGGTCTCGACAGGCTGGAAAAATGGGCTGAGAGCAGCCTCATAAACTCAACAAAGTCAAATACGAAGTCCTGCACTTGGACAGACAAGTCTCAAGCACAAGCACAAACTGGGCATAGACCCAGATAGAAAGTAGCCCTACAGAAAAGGACCTGGGGGTCCTGGTGGACAGGTTCAAAGAGAATGATCGTCTCGAGCGGTGAAGGACAGCTGCATTTTGGACTCCATTAGTAAGCAAGCAAAGACAGCAGGTCTAGGGAAGCTATTTTCTCCTTTGTTTGACGCTTGCCAGAGCACTGCTAGAATACTGTGCCCAATTTTGGCTCCCCAGCACAAGAAGGACATTGACAAACTTAAGCAAGTCTAGTGGAGGACCATCAAGATGGTCAGAGGGCTTGAGCACACAAGGAGAGGCTGAGATCCCCACGCTTATGCAACCCAAAGAAGAGAAGGCAAATGATGGGGTCCCATTCCTGCCTTCAACTAACTACTGAGTAGGTACAGACATTCTTCTCATAGGTTCACAGCAAAAGGATGAGAGGCTACGGACACAGGTTGCAACAAAGGAAATTATTACCAGACATTAAAAAAAAAAAAACTTAGTTCTTAAGCAAGGAGGGATGTGGCAAGGGCCCAGGGAAGCTATAAATCTCTGTCCATCTCTGGAGATGGTCAGAGCTCAACCCTACATAGCCCCAAGCAACCTGACTCATGTTAATGTTGGGAGGGCACTTTATGAACCTGTGATCCAGGATTTTTTATGGTGACATGCAGGAGTTAGCATGGACAACAATGTGCAGCAGCAGCAGAGGAGGAAGGTGTGGCCAAAGCCTTGGCACATTTCTTGAGCTTATCAGAGTAAGATAAACATTATTAGCATGAAAGCCACGTTTCTCTGGAATTAGTAGTCATGCTTCTCTGGATCTCTCAAACACCACAAGTTTGTGGAGCTTCATCTCAGTTCCTGTATCTGGGAAATTTGCTGCCTGAAGTGACTCTCTACAAGCTGCCCGCTCTTCTAGGAACTGCAGTGCTCATTAACATCATCCTCTTTGCACAAAATCTTGGCAGCAATTATTCTTACATATTTCATGTGTGCAGCATGTAATGCCCACATCTCTGCAGATCTATGCTGCTGGTTCTTGGCTCTTTAAAACTCTCAAATAGTTATATCAGAAAAGATGCCACACTTGTAATCTTGGGGCAGCATCCTCAAGCTCAGTAAATCACTTGAATAACAATTTGTAATAGTTAAAGAAACTTTTTATGGGGTAATACAGAGATGCAGTCAAAATATCAGCTGTC